CCGTTGGGGAACTCCAGGTCCTTATTGTGTAAATCATACTTCCCTGCCACAAGAAGTGTTAACTCCATTTGAAGGAAGGGCCAAATCCGGCATCAAGGCTTGAGTTTGAGTCACCTCTGCAATCTGCATCCCTCGAGTCACGTCCGCCAATAGACATTCCTGGTCACCTCTGGCCTTGGGCAAAAGAAACAAGGCTCAAAACTTGAACAAAGGAAGAGTGCTTCAATTCGCCTGATTTTCTAAGGCAGCCCTGCGGGGGAGCTACTTTTGCGGCTGCCAGATTGCTCTTGTTGCACCACGGCTTGGTTTCTTTCCCAAGGCACTCGGTAGAGCTCGGCAAAGCCCTCCATGAGATCATCCATAAAGTCGCCCATCTGGCTGGGACGCGATTGACACAACATCAATTGAACAAAGCAAATCGAGCTTAGATTTGGCTACGTATCCTCATTTCCAGTATGTGAAGTATAGAGCATGGTGCAGAAAATTGGACCAGATCGAGTCTACCCAAGACCCCTGCGGTTCACATGAAGGTTCCCTGCAGGGGCATTCCCCTGATCAATGACTAAGCCATGCTCTTGTAGGCCCTGCTCGTCCCCTGTTTTGGGACAATGCATGAGTAAAAGTCGCTTGCAGATTGAGTGCAATCAAGGTCTGGATTTTCAGGAGCTAGCCTGTATTGCAGTCCAAGGCATGCGAGTCTCACAACTCAGGGGATTTGAGATAGCTCCACCCCCTTACAAATGGATTTGAGGTGAAGATAATGTCGACCCGTTGAATCCAATTGTTCCTTTTGTGCCCAAAAGATCAATTGTTGTTTGCGGGAGCTTCATCCCACCCCGGTCGCTCTTAAGATAGCGGGGATGTTGGCATCAGGGTTCACCTGTAAATCCCTCTTATGGTTGAAAGCAAAGGGCTGAAGCAGAGTTGCTCCTCCTTCCGTGACTTCCGTGTGGTCCAGTCTGATTTCCACCTAAACGGGTGGTGTCAAATGGCAAGTGTTCCGTCTACGAGTTGGAGAGTCCGTGCCATGCGCATTCAGCACAGACCCCCCTGCGTGGAAGGGTAGGCCACGTATAATGTGGCGCGCGCGCGTGGCTCACATGACCCGCACGCCCCTTGTTGTTTTAATTATTCGAATCACTCTATATACTTTTACAGGGGCGGGTGACTGTTGAGGAATGCCAAATCCAATTCTTCTAAGTCTCTAATTCTTCCAATTTTTCCCGAATGGACGGGCGTGCTTTGGATCTTCAATGCAATTTCCACTTGCTCTAACTATTCTGCTTCTAAAACCTACTATCTTATCTTATGTTATTCCCAAAGCGAGGGCTTGCTTTCGGGAAATGCAACACTCATGCTTGTTCTAATCATTCTAAGCATTCTCACAATTCTAACATTCTGTTTTGCAGTGGCCGGGCGCCGTGTTGGGAATGTCCAGATTCATTTTGAGCTAATCATTCTACTTCTCATTTTTATCCTAAAATGTATTCCCAAAGGGACGGGTGCCTTCTGGGGAAATCCAGACTCACTGTCTATTTACAATGATTGTCCTAACTAGCCTAATTCTTCAATTTATTCAAAATGGGTTGGGTGCTTTCGTGGATTTCCTGGCTATACTCTTCTGATTATTCGGGTTATGCTAGTTATTCCCAAAGAGACGCGTGCCTTTCGAGAAAAGAACCAATTCATTGTTGCTAGTTGATCTACTTATGCTAAGAACTTGGATAAGTAGTATAATCAGAACACAGTTCCCTATTACTCATGTTTCTGAAAGGGACAGGTGACTTTTGGGGAATTCCAGATGCAATTATTTTAACTCGTCTAATGATTCTTTATATTATCATTCTAAGTATTCCAAAGGGACGGGCACCCTTTGGGGAAATCCAGATTCAGTGTCTGTTCTAATCATTCTACGCTTGATTTGTCCAATTACACTAATTATTGTGGAATTCAAGATTCATGTTTGCAATTAATATGACTAAGCTAGTACTGGCATACCGAGGCATCAACTCCGCAATGGCTCACTAAATAAAGCTATGATCACAGAGTCAATGCAATCTTTGGAGCTGAATCTTTGAGCTGCTGCCCTCAGTTGCATTCACAATCGCGTGCTTTTGATGGGCGGTAGTGGCTATGTTCACAATATCCGAGAGGCACGGGGAATCAAAGGATTTGAGCACATGGTTGGTAGGGAGAAACAGCAAACAACCGTCCCATTCACTGATCCTGTGGAAGCCTGCACTGGCCCAACTGGCCCCAACGACCAGCGCCCTATGCATGGTTGGGTTTCACGAAGGTTCCTTGTTTGAACACCATCTGACACGACATTTGGAACAAGCATTGCACGGCAAACTTCCCAAGAGACTGAAGACATCGCCAAGTCTTTGTTAAACGAGTGGTTCAGGTGGAGCCTGATTGGCTTTGTCGAAGAATTCTGCGTCCAGGTAGCCATGTACACCTCCTGCCTCCATGCCTTCTAACACTCCAAAAAACACAAGGGACGAAGGACAAGTGCCCTTGAACATACTGGGATCAATTTGTGAAGCACAGAAACATCCAGCTATTGAATATGTTGAACTCGGTGGTCAGAAGTCAATCCCCACTGCACAGACAGGTCTGAGACTCCAGCGTCGATTTTCTTCTTTTCTCCTTGCAGCACATGAAAACTGGCCGTTGAATCAAAGCAAAACAAGTCGACACAGGTCGCGCGTGTGTCACTCAGTAGGGAGGTTGCCCAGGGCAATCAAGCCGCAAGACCCTTGCGAGGCAACTGATGCTCCTTTGATGCTGTGGTTCGTCTTGCCATCCACCAATTCATCCTCGCCGGAGTCCTGGAGGCACTTCTCGCTGGAAGAAAGACATGCATGCTTGATTGGTGCAACCAAGCACCTGGCATCGCTTGGCTATGAGGCAAACAGCTGGGGCAGTGAAACTTTGGAAGACAGAAGGAAATGAAATAACCCAAAGTTTCACTGCGATCCGTGCCGTGGGCCTCCTCCTCAGAAGCCGCTGCCTTGCTGGCCTCAGCACATCACGAATGCCCATGTCCGTCCTTGCCCTAGAGAGGCACGGAGCTTCTCATTATCTGATTTGTCTCCCATGTAACAGAACTGCTGAAACGGCAACAAGCTGCTTCAAGCTGGGGTTGGCGACAACTCCTTTTTTGTGGTTTGACCGGTGAACGCAAACAGAAGTGTTTCAACACAAGCACCCAAAAAGGGTGCGCAATATGCACATGACATGTTTTTTGCTCCCCCCCCCAGGATGACAGAAACATATGTATACTTGGTCAACCAACGAGTAAGCACCCGTGACATGGCCTTCACAATTTTGTTCCACTATTTTCAGAACCGGCAAATGACTCATAATGGATCAATTGTTATATATATCGTCAAAGGAAGTCGATCAACGGCTACATTTGGAAAGCTCATGATTTGTCATGCATCATGATGGCCAAATCAAACATGTGTATCTGTATCTAGTCCTCAAGCTGGAAGCAAGTGTCCCCACAGACTTGTCAGAAACCTCGTTACTTGATAGATGCCAATGCCACCTCATGGCCAAGTTGAAACCCGCAACACCAAAGCGGACAACAGCTGACACGATCGCAATAACAAGAATCGAAAAACAGGAACGTCAACCGCCAACAGTCGCACACATACATGCATCATAAACACAATCCAACAAGAAGGACTCCAAGCGCATTCAGGAACATGGCGGGTCACATTGCAAATAATGACATACAACACGTAGCATCAATCTGCATTTCAGCGTGTGTCAACACTAGTGTAAGACTCCCTCGATTCAATGGTTATTAGTAATATTAGTAGTACTCGGATCTTTGCGAGACCCCTTGAGGCCCATGGACAAGGCAGCCCGAGGCCCAGGCGGCGCCGGTGGCCTTGCCGACTGCACTGGAGGCGCCAGCAGCGGCACGCCTTGATTTCTTTCAAAGGGGGCACGGAAGTTGTCACATGTTGGTAGGCACCCTCCTCCATTAGTTTTGTATTGGCCATCTTGGATGACTAGGATGCACCGTGAGCCATGCCTCAAGCATGCTAAGCACAGCGCGCCATCTTCATCTGCGCACCCAGGCCAGCCATCTAACTTTCGCCGGGCCAAAGGATTGAAATTTGAAATGCATGATTAGTCCGCATCACTCTCTCCGATCTGAACACAACAAGCTAGGTCAGAAGTGGACATCCCTAGTTGTGCTCAATGCTCATATTGAATGCGTTGACTGACCGGCGAAGGCTCAACTGATGTCTGCCTGTTCAGCCAGGACGAAGCGACACTATGCAATTCAAGGAAAGGGTCCAGGCGCAAGCGCAGTCTTTTCGTTTGGCAGGTTCGTAAACCTTCCAACATTCCAGGAGACATTTGCCTCCTCTCCTTTCTTGAAGCATAACCTCTGGCGGAGTAAAAACAAGGAGAGACTACTTGCATAAAATCATAACAAGTAGGACTATTTGATTCATGCAGCCTCACAACATCATATACAACTCAACCTTCCCAATGAGTCTCGGTACAGTGCCACGAAGCGTTGCAAGCCTGAGTGGCCAGTGTGTCCAATCTGTGCTTGAGTTACGTTCAAGCAACAACTCCAACAGGTGTTGATGTGTCATAATATGCTCGTACTTCAACATGTTCAACCATCGTCAGTAAGACACTAACTTCAACCAGCATTGTTCGGTGGTCAACTCATTTCATGCCCAGTTTCACGAATGGTTTACCGGAGCTCAACATCCACGACAAAAGTTGGAAATTCCGCTAAGCAGCACTTTTAACTTGACATGGCTTGAACAGGTAGCTGGTTCCCAACGTGTTGCAATCACAGGAACGCATTTCCGGCATGAACATCATCTACTTGTCGGGCCGCATTTGGGAAAACAACAGATTAATGCCTTTTATCGTCCCAGGTGTCTTTCCCGGACGAGTGGTCAAACCCAAAAGCGGGTTGCTGACGTCCCTTATTTGACAAACAGCCAGCACCCCAAGTCCTCTCGTGCCTCCTCTGGTTCGGATAGCGCATCCTCCTCAGGACAAAGAGTGAGTCAGCTTCAAGGTTGCTTAAAAAAGTAACATGGCGAGATGTTCTCCGGTCCAAGTGTCGTGTCAGGCCCTTTTCCGCAACTGCGGGGTTTCACTGAGAAGGATAATTAAATCTGAGGTGAGACAGTCACCGCGCCAGCCTTGTCGGGATCTGGCCGGAAACCTGGCAAGCGCCAGGAAACAGCGTCAGCATGTGCAAAAAAGGCAAATATCAAGGTTCAATTGAACATATTATCAACATTGGACATGGATACCATTCGCATGGGTCAGGGGCCGTACAATCACCCCTTCCAAAGACCACTCCGAAGATCCCCAAAACGGTTTTGGCTGTACACACCTTCTTCAACAATTGAAGTGCGAGACTCTGGTTTGCGAGACCGCTAGAAAACTTTTCCTCCCTTGCACGCGGTTCTGGGGAGCTTGAAACACAAGAAGACCGCGAGGAAACACCAAATACAGCTCCCGCCCACTGGCAATATATTGGCCTGGCAGGAAGGGATGACCCTGAACTAACTGCTAAATTGGTATTGCGATATATGGCGACAACCCGCCAGGGGGACCCGTTCCTACAACTGTGAACACTTGACGTCTCCCATTGGGAGGCGCCTTTGCCCCGGAGAACTATATTCATCTATAATATGCGAATCCCTGAAACAACTCTGCCTGCATCACTCGCAAGCACACCAAGCCCAAACTACCAATTGAATGATCAAAAGAGGCAGTCATGTTCCTTGTCAAACAGTGATGCATACAATGATCTTTTGAAAGGGAACCCGCTGACTTCAGAAGCGCTTAGTGATACACACGCTGATCGAGCAAAGCTACAACAAAGATGACTTCTGGTGCCTAGGGACAGTGCCGTGATCGCGCTGGAGAAAACGTTGCTTCAACAAACATCAGCTGGAACCTGACAGTCTGACAAACATCCCGCGGAGAAATCCAGTATTCCTGGGCCCCAAAACTCAAACAGTCTGGGTTTCCCTATTTCAATCTTGATGGCAAATCCAGCAATATCACCTCCAATTTTGGAGTGGGTGATGTCCGTTGACAGCATACAACAAGGTGCCCTGGCTTCTGGCTGCCTCTCTCGCTGCTCCTTTCAGAATCCGCGCCTCGAACCAGAATGCTCCGGGCTATGATCCGCTCTTTTTCCCAGCCTAGCCAAAGTCGACAAGGAGCCAATGGCTCAAGCATGTTGGGAAATGGATAACACTTAAGGAGCCTCCTAGCAAAGGGTTTTGAATGAGAGCCACACGAGGCAAGGGGGAGCCATACATTTGACACAGCGCAGTGGGTTCAAAACCATGGGATGATCTGGTGGAACGCCCGAAACGCAATGTAAAGGTTACCACCCACCCACGAAATCAGGGATCAGACCCTTACAGGGTGATATTGTGGATGATAGCATTTTGGTGTCTCTCTTCTGGGTGTCCTGATACGCAGTGATCGCGGTGCTTAGACTCGGGCTTGGGGAAGTTGGCTCAGTGCTCAAAAAGCAATCGCTCCCTCACAGTCAAGACTCATCAGGATCGTCTTGGCAACGCGTAGCTGAAGTCAGGTTTGAAAGGAAGCCAATCGCTGGCATTTGGGACTAACTCTGGCACCTTGCATCCTGAGATACCCAACTCCAAAGACTTTGCATGGACTCTTCGGACGGGACGTCTGGCGTCCTGCCACGGCCGAGGCGCGCCTGTGGTCTCAGGGTTGCTGGCCTTGACCTGCAGCGCAGATCATGACATCATCAAAAGGGTCCGCAAGCTACGTAGTCAGTTGCAGACTTGAATCCTTATGTCATACCCCAGTGAATCCAACGGCACCTTGACCTTCTCTTGCAGATGCTCTTCCTGCAGGACCATAGCAGCTTGGCCCCCCCCTTTCTCAGGGAAGTTTGGAAAAGCAGAAGCTGCCTGGCTTGGTGCGTTGCTTTTCCCTGCCGGCGACCTGGGCGTCACGATGGCGCACGTGGAAAAAGCCTGGGACCCGCGAACTTGACAAAGCACTTGACATGCGGTCTCCTCATCTCGTCATAGCTGCAAATGTTTCGATTGGAGAAAATAGAAGAATTGACCAGCCGACCCAGGCCTTGCCCTGGGCGGTCATATTTTGCAACTCCATGTATAATCAGCGCCTTTTTCGCTATTTCCACACTGCCAACAAAACCCCCAAATGGCACCCTTTCATCACTGTCCTACTTTACCATGCTTTCCTATCTGGAGGTCACTGCGAAAAGCCCCAACAGCCAAAGCATGTATGACTTTATCACTATGAGGCCAGGAAACCAAACATGCCAGGACACATTCCGAGAATTTGCAAGAGCGTCGATGAACTTCGGGCGTCAGTCTCCCATGTATGGAAGGGTGATTTCTTTGAGATCCATGGCCCCTTGTGACAGCACTTTGAGAACGTGCCCCTGAGACCTCTGCGCTTTCGCATCTGCATCTTTCGCATCTGCATCTTTCGCATCTGCATCTTTCGCCGGTTCAGCCTCAAAAAACACAGGCCAAGCATTTGGGGAAAATGAGGGACTGACGCCCAGCTCGACCAAAAATGGCCGGCCAAAAGAGATGGTCAAAGCCAAGTGGGCTCAGGAGGAGAAACCACCTGTTCACCAACTGGTGATGTTCAAAGTAGATTGCGTCATCCTCAGAGCAATTTCAAGTGCACAGGTCTTTGAAGACTGGAGGAGAATCAAACCGCAGCATCGCAGGACAGCGAAACCGTGCAAACACACCTGGGGTGCTGCAAATGCCGCGCCAAAATATGATAGCTGCGAAGTGAGCGATTAATGTTCAGCAATTTCGCCGGAAGGCAAAAGCTGGCTCATGCAGCAAGCCTGTAGTTTGGTGGTTTGGCTCAGTAGATTCTTCAATTTGTTCAGCCCTGTGTCCAAAACTGAGCTTGAAGCATACTGAACCACAGGTGACCGGCTTCAAGCGGCTATTTCAAAAAATATTGCAGCGAGTTCCTGCTGGCCAAAGAAACTGAAGCCGAGTTGACAGCATTCTCGAAGTATCAAGCTGGCCTTAGCCTTATCAGGAGTGCTTTCTTGCCTGCAAGAAAGCAGCAGCAAAGCTGCAGAAACAATGAGCTCAGCGAAAACATGGGTGCGCAAAAGGCCAAAGTTCACTTAAAGCTTGGGCAAAACTGCTGAATGGCCACTTCATCCATGAGGACTCACACACAAACAGACACACACACACACACACCCTTAAACACCCCTTCTTGCAAAACTGCACACTTGGGGCATTGCATGATCTACCAAAGCCTGTCTGGAGGCTGGTACGTCCCTTCCCCTGACCCGCCTGCGGCTCTTCCTGCCGTGGCTGCTTTGCGGGCTGCTTCTCACCTGGTCGACAGAAGCAAGCTCGGATCTGCCAGCAAAACTCTGCTTGCAAAAAGGCCTCACTTTGGTCTCATATGATCAGGACCTCCTTTTGCACTTGCTGATTTTCTGAGATGCCTCGACCATAGCTAAGTGGAGCCTGGCCTTGCAGTGCCACGGCAGCTTATGCAAGGCTTCATGAGAAGCGTACAATGGTGACATGCATCGATGATCAAACAAAAGTTGGATTGCCGGTTAGCCTTCAGGCTTGACAGTGTCGGCTTGCACCATCTTTATGAGTCCCAACATATCTTGTATTCTTACCTTGTTGGATTCCACAAGGAAACTTTGTCAAACACAGTTAAACGTGGGCCTGCGGCTGTGTGGGTGAAAAGCTGCTCAGATCTATTAAGTGCGTTATCCAAGTGAGCGGAAAGCTGCTAAGTGTGCGATTCTCCCCATTGCTGGTTTGCACCAAGCCAATGCATGTTTCAGCCTGCCCGATCCGACAATCTAGTTTGTTCGCCAGCGTAGAGTCCAAACTGATGAAATTCAACATTATTCTCACCCGCACGCCTTCTTGCCCTTGGCAATGCAATTGGCAAGCATCTGAACTTAGATTCCTAGATACGCTCGCTGTTTACCATCTAGGCGGGACACACATTGGATGTCAATGTCTTGGCTGCAACCGGCAACTCACGTCTAGAATCTAGCAAGCCAGAAAAGCAGATCCTTGGACTCATGGACCTTTTCTGTGGCTGATGCTGATGAACAAAAAGGTGACAGCAGTGACCCCAAGCTCCAAGTCAACAGGCACATGTTGCAACTGAGTCGTCTCACATACTAGACTCTGCTCGACTCTGCTCTGCGCTTTACCCACTGCCCCGCCTCTCCAGGGATGGCTGCTCGTACGCTTCTTGGGCTGCTCAGGCATGCTTTTAGGCTCAGGTACTTTCTGCGGCAGGATCTTGGGCTTCGGCTGAAGCATCTTGGGAATCTTGGGTTCTGGCGGGGCCTGCCACACGCACTGTTGCGGCAGTGCTGCTTAACTGGCGGGGTGCCTGAAAAAGGGCAACATTGCAACATACCGAATGGGGTGCCTTGGTGCCGCCAAAATTCTTTCAAGAATTGGTGCAAGGTGGCCTTCGAAATGTGCTGAAGTCTTGGGACAGCATATCAGCAGTGTCGACACCGGAAAATCCTTCTTGGTTGGTCAGGGTGCATCGAGGGTGAATTTTGTACACCGGCTTGTAGGGCTCTGCCTGTCTTTGTCGTGATCATGCAAATAATTATGTTGACTGTGCTCGACTGGTACGCTTCACCAGTGCCAAGACCTGCTGTTGGGATGCTTGAATTGTGAGAAGCAATGCATCGCATGTCAACAGCCCTGACAGGTGGTTGCTGACATCAGCCAGGCATGTCCAGAATGAAACAACCAAATAACCATCACGCCAGTTGCAGTGCTCCCCTTCGCCTGGGTACTTCTCGGCATTGCCTTTGGCCGTGGCTTCAAAGGCTCCTCGGCCTGTCACCCAGTCGGGGCGGTTGAAGCGAGCGTTCTGCATTCTTCCCAAAGGTCCCAAGGTGCTTTTCTGACAAATCAACGATGTTGCCCGAAAATTTGGTACCTGTCTCAGGGTTGGGTGCAAGCTATGTCTGAGTCCTCAAACACAAAAGGAGAGCAACAAACGGAACTGGAAAAGGTCAAGAGCAATCGGAAAGTGACTGCAAAGCAGTTTGAAAGCAAACCCAAAACTGCTGAACATGAAATAGAAGCAATTGGGAATGGGAAACAACTAAAAGGCAAATGGAACACAAAGTCGCAAAAAGCAACTCAACTGCAATTGTACAACACTACTAAACTTTAAACGAGGGCAACGCTTTTCATGCATGGAAATAGGGTACGGATTTCTTTTGGGATTGTTTCCATGTTTTGGGGGTGATTTGTTGTACATTTTTCGTGTGGGAAAGCAACATGCTGTAAAATAGCAGTATTTTGGCTTGTTTAGGCCTAGTTGACAGGGTCGTTGCAACAGTACAAATACGACCTACCGAATTGTGTCATTTAGTATTGCGGGCTTCGGTATCGAAAAGTAAGCATCGCAGACTCGCATCGTATCGAAGATTGTGGTTGGGCAGCCTCCCCCCCATGATGATCAAACAAATGATGATTCAGCAGCGTCCCGCATGATGTTCCAAGAAGCGATGATTCAAGACACGGTGCGTGAATCTCTGAAGAAGTGATGACTCAGCAAAGGGTGCGTCTAAATCTCTGCAACAAACGTAAAAAAAAAAAAAAAAAAATGCGGGCGGGTGGGAGGGGGGGCAGCACCGCCCCCCCTTGAAGTGCATACATACATTGTTACCAAAGGCCGGAGGAACCAACGAAAGGCTGCAAAAGCCAAAAAGCCACCTAAAAAACAACACGAAAACAACTCCTCAAACAAATACCCCTCCATTGAAATATCCCACCCACTCTGACATTACCCGGGCATCTCCGCGTCGCAGGCTGAAGCCCTGCGAGCCCCGACCTTCTCCGCAGCTTCGCCCTTGGAGTCCGCAGGCCTGTGCCAGCCTCGAAGGCGCCGAGCGGAGTTGCAAATGTCTTCGCGACTGGCGGCACGTTGATTTGGGGAAAAACACAGTGCCGCGTGCCGCGTGTGAGGGAGCATTCACTTTTGGGGCAAGCACCCCCTATTGAGCCGATCTGTGAATCCGAGATTGACACTAGCAGGTTTGAGGCCATTCAGCGAACATGCAGAAGTCTGGGCCAGAATGCTGAAGATGAGCCACGGGCTGTTGTCGCAACTGAGACTCGGCCGTCAGGAGCTTGGCTGTGAAACCAATCACGCCCATCCGAAGCTTGGATTGAACCCTTGTTCAGCCGCAGAAGCCAGTGCTGGGGCATTTGAACAAAGCCTTCCGGACGTTCATTTCCCAGTCAACTGCAGTTGGTCACGGCAAGGACCAACATGCCTTCCAACGGAGAATCGGCGATTCGAAATTGCGTCCTGGGAGATTCGGAATATCACTATACAATCACTTCAAGCAAATGGGCAATTTGGAACATGTTCTCCCTGCGGCCAGGAACCCTTTGCCTCTCACCTCTCCTCGTGATGCCGAGTGACGAAATGGCTTGCCACCTCTGCCCCAGGCCGTCCAGCTCACCGACTGGCAGCGGGACAGCTGGTTTCAAACGACCCCTAGATGGGGTTGAGCCTGTGCCTGCGGAAAATTATACATGAAATGCTAAAGTTGCCACTTTGGGGAACTGGGTTTCTTCTCCCTTGGCCAAACAATTCGAACTTTGCCTCAACGCAGTATGCCTGCAAAGATTTGCTTGATTCATACGCAGCCTCCACCCACCTATGGCCGCCCCGGTGCTCTCGTAGACAGCAGTTGAATCACAAGCAAAACCTAAGGGAGCCAACCATGCTGAAGCTAAATACCAAACTAGCAAGAGCATGCATCAAAACTAACACTTACGATGAACTCGTCCGTCATGAAACCATTCTCACCATCTCGCCATCTCAGTTGAGAACTGTTTAGGGATGCAGTATTGCATTCATTGATGAAGGGATTTAACTTCGGTACCTGCGCTTGTCTACTCTTTGGTATGTGTTAAAGTCTGGATTCACTATTGTCCGCTCTCAAAGTTAGCAATCTTAAAATGTTTCAACAATAAATTGGACGCTGCTGATTGGAGGATCCAGAGCTTCACCAAGTTCCTAATGATTTAATGGGATATACCATGAATACTGGTCATTTGAGGGTGGCGCAAGTTTGAATCACTGATAGATCCGCCGGGCATTGTTCCATACTTTAGCAATCACATCGACCAATGTTTCGTAAAGTTAGGAGTGGGTCGAGATTTGGATTTTTTTGGTTTTCTGTCCTGGCTGCTAAAATGCTGTAATTTACTGCATTTTCTCGCGAAATGTACGTATTTTACTAGTCCGTCAACATCATCATCAGCATCGTTTCAACATCCCCCGCATGTCCAGCCAACATCCCCAGCATCACCATCAAATCGAGAGCCTTGGCTTCCTACATCTTCAGCATCATCAGTTCGCCCCCCCAACCCCCCCACTACTTTTTAGACTTTTTGCCCCTAATTGAATCATCATTTTTCGATCATCATGGGGGTGGCTGCCGCCCCCCACCCCCCCGCGCCTTTAACTCATCACTTTTTCAAACATCATGGGGGGCTGCTGCTGCCCCCCCCCAACCCCCCAGATATTTTTGCCCCTAATTGAATCATCACTTTTTTGATCATCATGGGGGGGCTACCGCTCCCCCCCCCCCCGCTACTTTTTGGATTTTTGGCAGAGACTAAAATGCACCCATAATTGAATCATCACTTTTCAATCATCAGGGGGGGCTGCCGCCGCCCCCCCCCCCCAACCCCCCCGCTACGTTTTAGGTGTTTTACAGGGATTAGTTTGCCCGTATTTGAACCCTCACTTTTACCATCATGAGGGGGACCCGCCGCTCTTTTTAACATGCATACATAAATGCCTACCGGCAGCCCCCCCCATGATGATCGAAAAAGTGATGATTCAATTAGGGAAAAAAAATGTATACCAAAGCAGCGGGCGGGTTGGGGGGGGCGGCAACCCCTCTCCATGATGATCGAAAAAGTGATGATTCAATTAGAGGCAAAGAATCTAAAAAGTAGCTGTCGCACGATGATCGAAAAAGTGATGATTCAATTAGGCGTGCATTTTAATCGAAAGGGGGGTGGCGGTAGGCACCAGAGAGGAACTGGCGATGCTGAGGATGCAGGAATCCAAGGCCAAACACCAACTGGGAAAGCAGAGGATGCGAAAAGCCAAAGCCAGAAAGCCGCGAAAAGCCACAAAGCCCAAAAGCCACCTGCCGCAGCGGAACTGGCAATGCAGAGGATGCGAAAAGCCAAAGCCGCAAAAGCCCACAAAGACAAACAGAGGAACTGTGAATGCAGAGGATGCGAAATGAAAAGCCACAAAAGCCACCAAAACCCACGTAAATGCCACAAAAGCCAAAAAGCCACCCTCCCTGAAAAAAAACTAGACCACGGTTGGCCCGAAAGCATCACAGTCCCGTGACCATTCTGCGCAAGTTGCTCAGGGCAAGGTGCTTTGCGCAAACTGGTCTGTGCAAATTGCTCTGCGCAAGTTGCTCTGCGCAAGTTGCTCTGTGCAAGTTGCTCTGTGCAAGTTGCTCCGTGCAAGTTGCTCCGTGCAAGTTGCTCCCTGCAAGTTACTCTGCGCACGCTGCTCTGTGCAAGTTGCTCTGTGCGAGTTGCTCTGCGCAAGTTGCTCTGCGCAAGTTGCTGTGTGGGCACCTGACTCTGTGCAAATGTCTCTGTACAAGTTGCTCTGCGCAAGTTGTTCTGTGCAAGTTGCGCTGCGCAAGTTGCTTTGCGCAAGTTGCTCTGTGCAAGAAGCTCTGTGCAACTGACTCTGTGCAAATGTCTCTGTAAAAGGTGCTCTGCGCAAGTTGTTCTGTGCAAGTTGCTCTGCGCAAGTTGATCTGTGCAAGCTGCTCTGTGCAAGTTTCTCTCTGCAAGTTGCTCTGCGTAAGTTGCTCTGCGCAAGTTGCTCTGAACAAGGTGCTCTGCGCAAACTGGGTGTTCAAGTTGCTCTGCGCAGGTTGCTCTGCGCAAAATGGTCTGTGCAACTTGCTCTGTGCAAGTTGCTCTGCGCAAGTTGCTCTAAGCAAGTTGCTCCGCGCAGCTTGCGAAGCCCGCCCGCGGACCAGGGGTGAATCGAACCCGCGACCCGCCGGTCCCGGGAGCAGGCGCGCGAACCACGAGACAACTCCCGAGGACCAGTTCGAACAACAAAAGTCGCAAAAAACCTGAAGTTTTTGCACCTCGACCACGCTGATCCCCGCAGAGGGTCGCGCGAGCCAAAACAAAATTGCAAAAAACCTCGAGTTTTTGCACCTCGACCACGCCGATCCCCGCAGAGGGTCGCGCGAGCCAAAACAAAACCGCAAAAAAAAAACGTGAGTTTTTGCACCTCGACCACGCCGATCCCCAGAGGGTCGCGCGAGCCAAAACAAAATCGCAAAACACCCTCGAGTTTTTGCACCTCGACCACTCCGACGCCCGCAGAGGGTCGCGCGGGCCAAAACAATATCGCAAAAAACCTTGAGTTTTTGCACCTCGACCACGCCAATCCCTGCAGAGGGTCGATTTTCGTAGAGTGTCGTCGGCACTACCCCGCCGCCCCAAGAAGAGATTTTAACTCCTCGCAAGTCAATTGCACTTGACTCCTTGCACTTGCAACTTGCACTTGACTCCTTGCACTTGCAACTTGCACTTGACTCCATGCACTTGCAAGTTGCACTTGGCTCCTTGCACTTGCAACTTGCACTTAACTCCTTGCACTTGCAACTTGTACTTAACTCCGTGCACTTGCAACTTGCACTTGACTCCATGCACTTGGCTCCTTGCAACTTGCAATGACTCTCATGACTCCTTGCAATGACTCCTTGCAATGACTCCTTGCAATGACTCCCTGCAATGACTTTCATGATGATGATTCCTTGCAATGCACCTTGCAATGACTTTCATGATGATAATTCCTTGCAATGACTCCGCGCAATGACTCTCATGAGAACAACTCAAGTGAACCCAGCAAAACAACCCTTCGCCATGATTTCGGGGAAAAATGGGAAAATCCTTAAAAAAAAACCCTCCGTTAGGAATCATAGATGTTGACAAACCCGTTTGGTCCCCGATCAAAACACTGAGGCAAACCTTCTCAGTAGCCACACCTGGTGCTAAACTTCACATGCAGCTGCCCCCCAGCCATCAACTTCGCCTTCCTTTCCCTTTTTCTTCCCGCGGTTTACAGCCTTGGCATTCGGCTTTGGCGTGTCCAAAAAGTATCCTCGGCTCTCGTGCCGGCGACAGGGCACTCGACTCATGCCAGCAAGTAATGATATCAAGCATCACCGGCATGCTTGACTGCTCTCATGATCTGCCTGTCGCACAATGCCTGATCCTCGATGGAGTTGAAATACTCGGAACTCAATTGATCGGACAGTCCTCTTGCGAGAAGCAATTCACGTCTTTTGGGAGTTGGTTCCATCGATTCAGCACTTACAACTCTTTCTGTCCCTGGAATCACTAAGGTCAGTTACGACTTGTGACTTCCCTCTATGCACTGCTTACTATAATCTGGTGGGCATTCTCTTTTGATGGCACTTTGGTATTCTAATTCTGATTATGATGACCATGCCTATCGGCTTGCTTGAGCATTTTTGGAACCAAGTCAAAAAGCCCAGTAAGAACAGGGCCGAAGAGTTGAAGACACCGTGTGATCTACGCCCTTCCGCTGCCATTTGATGCCGCCCGTTGAGGTCGGCTCGCTGGCCGGAGCCCCAGGAAAGGGCGCACCACTGGTCCTGATGCGCAAAGCCGTGCCCCGCTTTGTTGTTCGCTCACTTGGTGCATGTCTCGCATTGGGAAGCCCGAATCAAGATTCTCCCTCAAAGTGACCGTGCTTAAAGAGAGGAAGAAGGACACAAACACAAAGGCACTGAGAGTCATGATGAGTCTATGCCAGGCGTTGACTTCCTGAAAGTACCCCCAAGTGGGACAGGGATGGCCACCAGGCTGCGGCTTTGAAGATTTACAAAGCAGCCCTCATCGGCAGCCATTGTCTGAAATGTCTTTCTGAAACTGCCTATGAATTTGACATGAGCAAATCAAGCACATTGGCAACTAACTGCTCTTGTTTCTCAAGCCATGTTCAAGCCGGGGCTTCTGAATGAGTAAGCCCAAATGGGATGCCGTGAACTCATTCATGTTCTAAAGTCCACCTCCACATGCGCCGTCAAGCCAAGCCCAGCCGCCTCCCATTGCAAATGGTTCTGGAAGCTCACGGTGCCCTTGTCGTTGGTGCGTTCTCGGTAGAGCTCTCAAGCAAGGTCGCAAAGGGTGCATGAAACTGAACGTCGTGACCAAAAGCCTCAGTTTGCCTTACCAAGGTTTGCGTCATTGCTGGAGAACAGCCAGGCGAACGCATATCACAATGCGCTTCTGGCATTCCTTGTCCCGCCAGCTGAATTACACATTTTTCTCCAAAAGCTCAACTTCTTGTAACATTGCCCAAGCCTTGCAAACGAGGGGACGCAGCGACTGGACACTGGAGGAACTCTTGTTGCTGTGACCACTGGGCCCTGGCTGACCGACCGCCCGGTCACCACGTAGCTCTCCCGATGGTTCTGGCACAGCGCCACTTGTGCTGCTTGGACCGCGCGCTAGGGGCAAATGAAACAGAAACCAATGTCCCCAAACCTGCGTTCGTGCAAGAAATGAAAAGCCAGGGTTTGCTTGGTTTTCAAAAAACTTTCATAATTAAACTTAAAAAAACACCTTGATAAAAAAAGGGCAACAACCAAAGCGGACAAAAAAGCCCCAGACAAAAGGTCCTGGCCCCAAGACAGTTGCCAAAGTTTGTTTTTCCGTGTGTTATTGTTTTTGGGGGGGGTTCTTAGTCCCTTACCACTCCCTGAGAATTCCCCATTGGTCTTTTAATATTCCCCTACCCTTTCCATATTATCCTTTAGTATTCTCTTGCCCCTAGTGTTCTCTCAGCACTGCCTCAGTATTCCTTTAAATTTCCCCAAGTATTTCGGTATTCCCCCAGTACGTTGCAAATATATATATATATACATGTATATATATACATATAAATTCAATATACTTTCCCCAGTATTCCCTTAATATTCCCCTAGCATTCCTTCCAGTATTCCAGCATTCGCTTACCCCTAGTAGTTGCCCTAGTATTCGTGAGTAGTTTCTTGGTGTACCCCTAGTATTCTCCAGTTCCCCTTTTGGTAACCTGAGCATTCCTTAGTAACGTCTTAGTTTACCCAACGTTCTCTCCCAGTATTCCTCTAGAATTATCCTAGTATGTCCTCTTGTGTTCCACTGGTAATCACTTATCCCCTCGGTGTTTCCCCAGTTCTTTGCTACTCAGAAACTGGAGCGCAAATGGGGAAGTACAAAGGGGAATGCTAGGAGAATACTAGAGAAATATTTGGAGAATACTAGGGGTGCACCAAGACAATACTAAGGAATTCTGAACAATATTTGGGGAATACCAGGGGAATACAATCTAGGGGTCAGAATGCCAAATGAATAGGGGACTATTAGGGGGATACTAACATACGCGGCCAAATGCGAAGGGGAATATTAAGGGAAAATACTATGAAAATGCTAGGGCAATACTGAGGGACTATGTTAAGGGAATGTAGGGGAACACTGAGGAAATACTAGAGGGGGAATACGAGGGGAATACCAAGGGGAGTGCAGCGGACACTAGGGAACTACTAATTAGAATTGAACACTGAGATAATATTAGGGGTATACAAAAAATATAAAAGGAACCAAGGGCATACTAGGAGAATGCAGAGAAGACGCTGAGGCAATGTGCGGGAACTATCGGGGGGTACCAGGAGAATGGTAGGGGAATAATAAGAAGAGGAATATTCTGAGAAGGGGACTACTATGGCAGGATGAACAAGCAGTTGCAAATGACTAATGCACATGTCACATGCAAATCCTAGGAACAGACGCCAGATACGTGGAGCTGCGAAGCAAACAAATCACAGACACACATGTCAGTCTCACATGCTAGGAACTTATGCCAGATACGTGGTGCAAAACCAGACGTCAAATGCCAGTGAAATCTCTCCAAACAGCATATCAAAAAACGCTATGTTTCTACGTAAAACGCAGGGCTGGGGGCATTGGCCTCTCAAATGAAACGAGTCACGGTGGGATCTTGCATCTCCTGTCTTCTCGGGATTCTCCCAGAGGATGGAAACCCACAAAAGTGTATGAGTGGAGGTAAGTCCGGCTCTCAACTTGGAGCTGTTTTAACCCCTAAAGGTGGCTCTGCAAATGCGCACGACGACAAGAACATCGATAGGCATTGCTGGGATTTTGCCAGAAAGCAAAGGAACATGCAAAAGGAGCACAGCTGACATGTTGACATCCGCTCCTCGCTGTTGGTCCACGTGCCCTGCAGCAATTCAAGCACCTCGGGAGCCCGAGCGGGCGAACAGTTGCCCGGACGCCCATCCAGTAAGCGATGCAAACAGCAGGGTGCCCTCTTCATGGCTAAAACAGTGGCGCTGACGAGACCCCGAATGATGAGCTGGGCGTTTCGCACGCCTATCTGCAAGTTTTAGCATGTTTTAATAAAGCAGGCTAGACTCATGCCGGAGACCCGCAAATTGTGAGATGTCTGCGCACAAATATTTAGCACGGCAGGACTTGCATGGACCGTCTCTCTATGCCTTGGGGTGTTGGCAGCCTTGCCGGGCTTCCGCGCCTCCAAGGCCTGCTTCCAGGACTTGCAGTGGTAGAGCTCTGCCTGACAAATTTCTCAGATCGCTTCCTTTGGGGTGAAACCCTGGCAGAACATAAGTGAATATGAAGGATCCTGAAGCCCTAAGTGCTGAAATAAATCTGCACTTCCAAGCCCATCCCGTAGAGGAAAACGTTTTTTGTGGCGTTGTATCGCGATGTGGCCCATGCTCCCACGCCCTTGTGCAAGCATTTAAAGCTCTTTTTTTCTGCCAAGAGACAAGTTCTTGATTCTTTCCAGAGAAAGAGGACTGACGGGCAAGCACAAACATGCCAACAGCTTGTCGCTTCAACACGAAGGAATCAAAATGATGCAGTCGTGAACCCGGCACGCGTTCACGTGTGTTGCTGGCGTGCTTCGCGCTTCAGCGCCGCGCGGGAACTGAGGTTGGGCAAGCGCGTGCGATAGCGGGCGAGCGTGCGCGAGTGAACGCAAGTGTGGCAGCGCAATCGCGCGGTCACCTGGGCAGTTCAGACACACATGTCCAGTGCAGATGCACATGTGTGTGTGTACATGTGGAACACGCATATGTGTACGACTGAAACAGTACACGCGGCACGCGCAGATGTGCACCCGTGAACACACACATGTACATACACCTGCGGCGCACGCATACATGTGTTGAGCTGGAAAACCAACGTGCGCTTCTTGAAAAGCACACGCACACATGTGTACGCCTGGAACACACATATGTGTTCACCTACGGCACGCTAATGTGTTCACGTGGAACACACATGTGTTCACTTGGGAAACGCGTGTCCAATTCCGTAGAACACACATCTGTCCACCTGAAACACAAACACGTGTCCAAGTGGAACACACATGTGCATACACGTGGAACACACATATGTGTACACGTGAACACTGTCTGATAAGAACACACATGTTTGCACACGTGAACGCACATACATGTGTACACGTAAGAGACACACATGTGCACACGTGAACATGTGCACAAGGGAACACACACACACATGTGTACTGCACTTGAACACACACACACACACATTTACGCGCACGCAGAAACACAGACAAACACGCGTATTCATCTGAGAACAAACACGTGTTCTCCTGGAACACAAACACCTGTCTAGTTGGAACACAGAAGTGCGCACACGTGAACACACGTCTGTGCACAAGTGGGACACACATATGTGTACACGTGAACGCACAAATATATATGTGCAACCGGAACACACACTCACAACAAACGTGTACTCACCTGAAACACAAACACGTGTCCAGTTGGAACACACATGTGCACGCGGAGCAGACCCGCAGACACACACACACACGCGTTCATCTGATAACATACATGTGTTCTCCTGGAACACATGTGCATGCGGAGCAGACACGTGTTCATCTGATACCAAACATGCGTTCTCCTGGAACACACACATGTGTGCAGTTGGAACGCACATGCGTGCACACGTGAACACACACATGTGTACATGTGGAACACGCATATGTGTACGCGTGAACACACATATGTGCTATGAATTACATGTGTTTTATCAGAACAATCGCATGCTTTCACCTGGAACACAAACATGTGCTGACGTGGAACACACTCATGCGGCCTTTACATGTGTTTTATCAGAGCAATCGCATGCTTTCACCTGGAACACAAACATGTGCTGACGTGGAACACACTCATGCGGCCACATGCCAAAAAACGTGTTCACTTGGAACGCGCCGATGTGGTCAGCTGGAACACACCAAGAACACACAATCATTCGCTTGAAGCACTCAGGCAGCATGCTGCTTGTGGCTTGATCAAGCACATGCGCGCGCTCAGACACGCGTTCCTTGCCTGCCCGCGGAACACACCGCACATGTATCCGTGACAGCCGGGACAGATAAATGGAGACAAAGGGAGACAAACGAATCCGTCCACCCAAAGAGCCGTGCCAGGCATCCAGGCTGGGAGAGAACAAGAAGGAGACAAAGGGAGACAATTGAACCCGTCCAAGCTAACCTGTCCGCCCAGAGAGCCGTGCTCCACCAGCGCCGGGCCAGACATGGGACGCCCGCTTGGAGAGCCGCGCCAGGCGGGAGACTTAATGGGAGACAAATGAAACTCGTCCAGTCAGAGAACGGGACACACGCCTAGCATGGCTTCTGGCACGGCTCTCGGGATCGAGCTGGGACACAATCCGTCCACCCAGAAAGGAGACAAAGGCAGAGGAATTCGGGTTGGGAAACAAAAACAAACGGGAGACAAAGGGAGACAAATGAATCTGCAGACAATGGGAGACAAATGAACCAGTCAGCCAAAGGGAATTGAAGGGACAAAGGGAGACGAGTGAGCCCGTCCACCCAGAGAGCCGTGCCAGGCATCCAGGCTGGGAGACGACAGAAGACAACCCAGACAAAGGGAGACAAATCGGGAGACAAATGAAGGGAGACTAAGGGAGACAAAGAGCCGCGCCAGGCATCCGGGCTGGGAGACAATGGGCCTTGACAATGGGAGACAGATGAAGGGAGACAAAGGGAGACAAATGAACCCGTCCACCAAAAGAGCCGCGCCAGACATCCAGGCTGGGAGACAACGGGAGACAAAGGCAGACAAATGAACCCGTCCACCCAGAGAGCCGTGCCATGCATCGCTGGGAGACAACGGGAGACAAATGAAGGGAGACAAAGGGACCTAGAGAGCCGTGCCAGGCACCAGGCTGGGAGACAACGGGAGACAAATGAAGGGAGACAAAGGGAGACAAATGAACCCGTCCACCCAGAGAGCCGTGCCAGGCATCCGGGCTAAGAGACAACGGGAGACAAATGAACGGAGACACAGGGAGACAGAGAGCCGTGCCAGGCATCCAGGCTATGGCTTGGCAATAGGCGAGTCACTTTAAATGAATTTGGAACCCCTCACAGTTGACGGTTTGGGGAATAAAAGGAAACAAACTAAACGAGTGTGTTGAGAACTTACTGAACAAGTAACTGGACATGTTCTCGTATTAGTTGCTCTTCCTATCCGGAGGTGTTCACGGAAATTATCTTGCTGAATCATCTAATATTTGAATATCGAATCAAATCCAAATAAGACAACATATAAATATTCAAAGATTGCAAAGCGCTTTTGTGCAATACAAAGAACAGGATACAGTGTATAAGTTTCGCTTGGACAATAATAATATGTTTGTAATTTCATCAAAGATGCAAAATCTGCCATCGAGGCTGAGCTTGGCAGTCTGCCATCGAGGCCGCAGGGTACCCAGCTATTGCGCTACATGACATGCCGCTATGCAGCGAGATCCGGTTGCACATGTCATGCTTGGAATTGACTCTGTCCATCGGTTGCCACTGTTGAAGCTCAATATAACTCAATGGAACCATGAAACGACCAAGTATATTGTTGGTCGTTCATGCGAATAGTCGTTTTAGTACGCAAACTGCTCCCGATCCCTGCCTGCACGTCATCTCTCCAGCTCATTTCAGCCTTGGGCATTCAGGGCTCTTGCGGAGCCTCGAACCCCAACGCCTTCCAGAACATGGCGAATAATGCATGCCTTGCACACGTAGGCCATGTTCCGATGTTATGCCAACTGAGCCATTTGGTGAATGGATGGGACTGGACAGCTATCGCTACACATCCCAAACTCAACCAGGCAACACCCAGCATTTGTTGTGAATCTGTTTATCTGCCTCTTGCTTGGTATCCCACAGCATAGAGTAGTCCAAGGCTTCTTGAATAGTCTGCATCGCTTGCGAACCGCACCGGCTAGATCACGCTTGCTGAGAGTGTAACACGGAAGCTAAAACACTCAGGCACGGCTGCATGCCTCAACAGCCTCAACAACTTGGTCGAGAAGCATCGAGAAGCACCAATTGACAAAACAAGGCAGAATGCAACACTTGATTAAGAACACCAAACAATCAAGTGTGTTGCTGCAGTAAATGCACTAACGCGCAGCTGTGAATTGGAAACCTTAGAAATCAATGGAAAATGTGCGACAGTCCAAAGGAGCGGCCTCCACAGCATACCCCAACTGTGGCTCCCTGCCCGGTGGGATACACTCGTGTCCGCACATGGCAGTTATATACCCGCAGGATGTGTTGCGATTCAGTCGCATAGTAGTTGCTTTCATCTTGACAAACGTCAACTCACGGCCAACCTCTCCAGCATCGTTTTTCTTGGCGTACAGTGAATTTGATGGAACCGTTCCAACATGTAGTTCTCCACGACTTTTGGGAGAAAACAAGCACTCCTCGGCTCTTGTTGTTTCAAAAAAAGCAACACTTTACATTGCCCGGCCATAAACTATCAACTGGACGGAGGACTCGCTTGAACGTGCGCCAGTCGATTCAGCTACTTCGAGGTGTGATTTGGTGCGGCACTCGATCAGCGCCAGTCCTTGAGTCTCACGTGCCACGTGCTGTGAGCTATGTGCCGCTGCATCTTCTTTGAAGTTGTGCTGGTTCTTCCCTTTTCTCGCAATTGGAGCTGGGCAATGGCAGACGCGCATGTCGCAAATCTTCCACTGATAAGCATGATGCGCAAGCAAGCAAACAGAATTCAACATGACAATCATCATGTTTCTGAATCATGACGTGTCTGGCCTTGAGATACAAACCCAAAGGCTTCCAGACCGAATGTCGCATCGCCGAATACGCAAAAATAAAATTTGGATGCTGAAAAGCTGACAGGAAGGGTACTGCAGCACTTCCTCAGTCGGCGTCATCACTCAATGGGATACAACATCATGCCCAAAATTTAAATAGCAAAATGTTTGTGAGGATGTTCTGAGTCGTTTCGGAGGCTTTCTTTGATCCATTCAGCTCAGAGTTTATCGGGTTCATGCCGGTGCAAATTGAAGCGCGATGATGTGCAAGTGGTGCTTGACCAAGGTAGGCAGCCTGTACTCCAAAATGAAAAATGGAAATCGCAAGCAAACGGACCTGAATGGTATAATCCACTGCGTCATTCTGTTGAACAAATGAAAGTTGGTCTCAACACTTTGCTGGACCGAATTAACTCCTGCCAAGCAGGTGGGTCAGAAACTGATCTATATATTATATATATATATATTATTATATACATATACATATATAATATTATATATCGTTAAATATATATATATATGTCCCAGGTGTGACTCGCAAACCAAACGGCACGGTGATTCCGCAAGAGTATTCATGAAAGAAAGCCGGGAAAAACAGTACGCTGAACCCCGAAGCCCGGCATGGCGTGCGTGCCTAGGGCGATAAGCACCATGAGCAGAAGCTCGAAGGTCGAGGCAAGGTTATGCAGCAATCGAAACGCCTCCGACGTCCAAGTGCATAGCGAAACGCCATGCGCAGCATATCTTTCTGACATGCCACCAACCAGGATTGCGGGTGAAATGTCGCTTAAGCCTTCGAGCAGGTCTAGTGTTGAGTATTCACGCAGAAAAGTAAGCAATAAACTTGTGACATCTTGTGACTGCCACAAAAAGCCATCTCTGAAGAAGACAATCAAGAATCAAACCGTCTTCACGGGTCTGACACAAACTGACACAAGACGCAGGCAGACACACACACACACACACACCACCTCAGGAATGACAAGTGGCCCAACTCATGCGGCAATGCCAAAAGCAGTGAGGTCTTCACACAACACATCCTAATTGTCAAGAACATGAAAATGTTGTGGTGGGACTTCCCCCAGCTAATTCAATCTTTAGATTGCTACTCAACTCGAACCATCTGTCCGCATGGTGGCAAACACTTCCCTCCAAGATCTGTGTCGCTCTTGTTGTCTATTGTACATTGCCGAGTTGTGACTCCCCTGCGATCCTCTTTGCAAGAAGGCTCCAGTGGCTTCAGGGTCAGAGTCAGCTGTTCAAAGTTTGACCAGCGTTGCTTCTTCTTCCTGTGCGGTATAAACGCATCACCGGGACATACACTGACACGTGTTCTTTCTCCGAAGTACTCGAATCTTAGATTCCCGTGGCTCGAGTTTTGTTGGTTTCTCTAACCGCTTGGTCCGGCAGCGCCTCCGTTTGGTGGATTTTGGGATGCAAAGGGCCCGCCTGGAACTTCCAGGGCGGCGCGTCTCCGGTGTCGGCCAAGCCCTCAGCTCTGTGAGCCCGTGAGCGAGCAAAAGCTACACGACAAACAAGGCATTCCAGGTAGTACCTGCAATTTAACCGAACCTAGCATATCAAACAATTTCGGCCTCCCACCTGTTTCATTTGATTTCTGCCCCAGCAGTTTGAGCGGCGTTGCTGGGCTCTGAAGCAGTCTGATGCTCTGGCCGTTCAGGCAGAAATTGTGATCAAACATTCACCTGTTGCATTCAAAGCATTGCGTGGTTAATGAGCGCAGACAAAGCCGAAAAAAGCCTGGCACAAGAAAAACGCGTCACACTCGGGCTGCAAGCACTCTTCTCCAAAACAAATGAGAGAGTCCCTCTTGCTCCTCCTGCTGGAGCTTCTCATTTTATCACAAGATACGCGTCTAAAGCCTACAGATCTAATGCCAAGCGGTTCGCCCAACTTGCTACCACGGGACTACAAACCCATCTCGTTGGATCTATTTGGATCTATGATACTCTACAGGGACTCTACCGTTCCCGGGTCAGGAACTGAATCACTCGGTTCATTTGACCGCACACAACAAGCGCCACATGTGTCTCCACATCAACCAATTGTGGATATACCGTGATATACCTCATTCCAATGATCGTAGTTTGTTTGAGTACAGGTACACCTGAGCACTTGTCCCACAAGTGAGGCCCCTGGCGCGAAAGAGGTCTGCTCGTACAGCGAGCTCCATGGCCTTGCAACTGGATGTTGTTCCAAGTGGCACCGATCGCCAGCTAAAGACATCACTGTGGGACTGTGGGCATGTGCTAAAGTGCCAGCTCCCACGTTTGTCTGATCTGTTGTTTTTCTTGTTCAAAATGATACCAAGAGGATCTTGAACATTTAGAATGGCTTTGAAGAGGACACCAGAAAAAGCCAAGACTGTTGGGAGAGGTCTAAAAAATGACACAGTCCCCTTCAGCAAAGCTTTCCAGGAGTGTAATCGACCTCATGGCAGGTATGACAAAGACTGTTGGGAGAGGTCTAGAAAATGACACAGTCCCCTTCAGCAAAGCTTTCCAGGAGTGTAATCGACCTCATGGCAGGTATGACAAACACATCTTGGCAACATGCATCCTTGTCCCCTTTAAGTAAGAGATGCATCATCATTATCATGCATAATTTCAGTAGCTGTGGCTCAAAAAGATGTGCCCGAAATGGTCCCTAGGTAGCTCTTAAACTTGAGCCACACCCAAGTCAAGACAAGCCTCTTTGCACACCTGCAAGGCGCGGAATCTCGCAAGGAGCCTACGACCACGCCTACGGGATTAGCTCTGCGCAGCCGAAGACTCATTGATGTACTACGGAGACAAAAGATCTGTGCACCTTCCAAATTGGCAGTCTCTTTGCCTTTGTTTAGAGCTGAGCAGCGATATTCAAAACTTGCAACTTGCAACTTGCAAGATGTTGATTAACACTTTGTACAATTAAATCAAGCAGTCAGCTGAGACCCTCTGTAACAGAACCTCTCTGCTGACCTATATGGGGTGATCAAGACTGAAATGCCGGAGAAAGGCAGATGACATCTGCCTCAATGGCTTACTTGCTTTCTCGGCATGTCGGTTCGGAAAGAGGTCCCCTACTCTGGCACTGCGTTGATCCCAACAGCCAAGTCTCCAAGACCGGCGAATGGCGAACCTGCACCGCCATAAACTGCGATCTGGGGCCAGTGCTGTAATCACAGCAAGGGCAATCCATTCCTGCAAAGAGCTATAGCTATTCCATGCCAACTGGCATGCAAGTCCACCCCTGTCAAAGCGATGTGGCCTGTACCATCATTGCGAAACTGTGTACATAGCAAGTTAGTAACTTGCATGGCATAACAATAAACCTATCGAAGTTGCGGTTGCCGCTTCCTGTGACTGCAACATTCTGTGCAATTGCGCAGAAGCCACCTGAGCTTTCACAGGTTCTTTCCTGCTTCCACTGTTGGGAAGAGCATCTCGCGCAACGGGCCTTCGAATGAAAGCAACTCATCCGACGTAATCAAATGCATAAATTGACTGCATCTTGCCCAAAGGCTGCGGCTTCAGCTTCTCCATCTTCTCCAGCTTCTCCTCCTCCTGGCACCGTGGAATCCAGGCTCACTCGCCTCCGTCACAAAGGGGCTACTTTCACGACGTGAAAAGCAAGAGCAAGCTGACTTTGATTCAGCACAACACAGATCTAGAACAGTCAGCCCAGCCTTCAATAAAATAATCAAAACCTCAGCATGCGTCTCAAGCCTTAAAAGCGCGCTAGTGCATTCAGGCGTCGGCACATTTAATTCGGCCTTGGCTTCTCATCTTGAAAACCTTCCTCCGCAATGCTGGACCTGCTTTTGTATGTGGGGAGGATCCCGCTACTGTTTTAGAGGTTGTCAAAAATATTTGTTGTTTTTCCCAAGATAATTTCCTGTCAAAGAAAAACACCAATATCAAAGCCTTAGCCTTTGACTTTTGAAAGGGCGGTTCATACAAGTCCTTCCCAGCTCAGAGGCTAAATTTCTTAGATCTCGTCTTCTTAAATGTCAAGCCTGCTTTTGGGTTGGAGATCGGAGCCTTAGCCTTTTACTTTTAAGGTGTGGTTCGCCGTAAGCTCTTCCGAGGTTTAGGAATGTGGGATCAAGTCTTGGCAGCACTAAGTTTTGAATTGGCAAAACTAAGTTTAAGTATTGAGCCCAAGTCCAAACCCCCACGCCCGTTCATTCAACTGAAGAGGGTCGAAACGACCGGTGGCACTGTTCCAGGGGGGACACATTGTCACATTGGACATGAAAGTCATGAAAGGTGGTCCAACATTCCATCACTAATCCACAAATTTGCACCACGGATCAAGGAGGCTCAGTGTTCACCCAAGGGATTCACTGCCTCGGCATGCAACAAGCTGGCCAAGCGCAGAGCGACTCAACCCTCGCCTCCTGGGCGGGCGGCGTGTCTGGCGCCGCAGTGGAGATGGACTGTGCGCCTGGGGAAGAGATGACTCACGTTGCCACTCACCGCCATTATTTTTGAGCAAAGGCCTCGGCTTTGCACTTGATTTTACAGCTCAACTTTTCTGCAGTTTCCCTTCCTGCCTTCATTCTCCCAAGTGCATGGCTTGGCTCTGAAATATCCAGCATTGCGCTTCAGCTCAGACACGAAAAAAGCAAGGGGCGCCAAACGAACTAACCGCACATTCCTTGTTGTATCCACAAACCAAGACACACACACACACACGCATTCATCGCGCGTTTTGTAGAAACACATTGCAGGGACAATAGCGCATGGGTGCATGATGATGCCCACCAGACTCGAACCAACGGCGCCCTGGCGGTGCCTGAGTAGCTGTCCGGTTTCTTCAGGCCAGTCCTGAGGATGGCAAACAAATGAGCGGCTGGAACATTACCTTCCAAAAACATCCTGCAGGATGTTTTTTGAATGGCTCAAGAATCGGGTCAAGAATCATCCTGTGGGATTAGTAATCAAAAGGGATCAAACAAGTGCTGCTGTTTTCTTCAGCGGTCCACACCCCTTCTTAGGTTTTTGTGCGCCTGGCTACAAAGCGGCTGGGATGGCCAAAATACTACCAGAGAACTCACTGCCCCCAACACCTGTGGTCCAAGCTCCAAGAACAAACGTGAACATGCCTTCTTTCCTTTTGTCCTGCGCTTGTGATGTCTTGCACCGATGCGCGTGTGTGTGTGCGCGCGCTCGCATTTCCTCTGGGCCCGCAAGAACGCTCTCTTCTGTGAATGCGAGCGAGCGTGTCTGCCTATCATGTTGCATGCGTGAATGTTGTCTCGTGCGAATTTGCCTGTGCCTCTGCCGTCTTGTGCGCATACGTCTGAGCGCCTGTTTGCTGAACTCTATCGTGGCTGCCCAGGACATGCCCCTAAACCCAGCTTGGCGGGCCATGCAGGCCGGGTAAACAAAATCAAGCCAAAACATTCAGGCAGCCAAGGAAAATACTGGAAGTGGAGAGTCTCAACAATCCCACAACACAGACGCAACATGCCCGACACCAAAAGGCTCTGCACCAATACGGGGCCACCTTTGTAGTTCTGACTGCAAAAGGATAGCGAAAGCAAAACCCATGGGATCTACCACTTGACAAGCCTACAACATGGAGTTTGGCTGTTCGACATCTATACTCGCGAATTCAAGCAGGAATCGCTGCGAAAGGGCTTTGGCATCCCAACCACTGTCTCGCTCTTTTGCATCTGCCCAAATAAGAGACTCGAGTCGAGTGTGTTTCACAGCTGCTCCTGCAGTGACTTGAAGCTTCTCATCAGGGCAGAACGCTCTTTCCAGCTGCAATGTACTCTCCGGAGGTCTGGACTCTTGCTCCATTGCATTGGAACGAGTGGGACTGAGGTGACTCGAAATCTGTCCAACAAATATTTGGGATGGGGTATGCCACGTCGAGTTGCTGTAGCTGGATGTACTTCACGATCTCGTCAAAGCATATCTCCTGCACTGCAAGAAACAAACTGAGTTTTGAATTGAGAACTAGAGTCAACCTTGGGTGCTGAGCCAAAGAATCCGGGTCGAGCTGTCCGGATCAGACATTTGTTGTCCAAGCAGGGCTGCAAATGGAACGCTTGCTGGACGACTGCAACTGGATCTGACAAGCAACGCGAAAAACAATTGGCTACGCATGCTACACATCGTATTGGATGTCTAATGTCGTCCTTCTCCTCGGATTCGAACATTGCCTTGCGCAGTGTTGCCATCTGCTGGCAGTTCACCTGATGGGCAATGGCAGGAACTTGTCCCTTGGTACTGCCTTCTTCTGCATGATGCAAAGACCCCTTGCTTTGTAGTTCTGTGTCCAAGATCCCTTGCTGTGCGCGAGTAGAACATGTACAAGCCCAAAAATAAGCTCAAGCCTCAATGAACGACAAAATGAAATACCCCTCGCCCACGAGCTCCGATAAATCGAGGCGGCGCCTCGCCTCGAAGGGCCGCTTGGCTTGGCGAACCTAAATGATGAGCAACCGCCGACATGCTGCGAGGCTGAACCCCCCTATCAAAAGGCCGGAAAGCCCTGGATGAAGCAACTTACAACGCACGCGTTTGCGGCACTTTTGAATCTAGGTTTCCAGGTAGTCCCAAAAAGTAAACACATCCGACAAGCACTACTACAACATACAAGCAGTCTCAAACAAAACGTGCAAAGCCCAACCTCCCACTGCGTAATTATTGTAAAGCATGTGAACCGTGCAACCGTCCAACCAGTGCCTTGCACCGAATCGCCTTGAATCCAGGCAAGTCGCTCGGTCAGCTGCCAGAGCTTCCGCCTGGGCGGCTCTCGCCAGCAGCTGCTTCCCCTCCGCCACGGAGGCCTCCAAGTCCTTCTCGCCCTGCTCTGCCCTGGGAACGCAACACGCAAAGGTGGGAAGCTGAAGAAGCTGAAGAAGCTGAAGAAGCTGAAGAAGCTGAAGAAGCTGAAGAAGCTGAAGAAGCTGACAAAGGACAGCGGTCAACGCTTCAAGTTGGAAAAGAGAGGACGCCGCGGCATAAAAGCCTCGTACCAATAGCCGCTTCATGTCTGGTTAATTTTTGGACGCGGAGTTTTTGAGGGTGCGGTGGCGAATGATTCACAACAGCGCCAGCTCAGTGAAAGGATCAACGAGTGACTGATTTGGGGCTCAGCGTATCATCCATCAGTGGCCTACAAACCGTGAAGTTGGAGGAACAAATGGCCCTGGTCAAATGCAATTTATGACAACCCTCAACATGCGGTGTGACCTACGTAACAGTGCAATCCCCAAGTGGCATGTGTTTGTTTTTGTTGAGAAGACTCAATTCGCAATGCAACTGAGTCTCTGAGCCACAGTGCCCTCCAGTGTTTGCACCAGATTCTCCAAGTGCTCTTGCACCTGTGTGACGCCGCAGTGAACTAATCCACACGCCAATACAACGGGTGTAAATCTTAACGACAACCAAGCTCAGCGAAGCATTTTCTCTGGTCTGGGTCCCTTTGCAGTGCCATGTAAACGAAAATAATTCAAACTTGCAGGCATGCCCAAGCTTACCGCAAATTGCTTGTGAACGTGACCTGCCCCTACAGAAAGCCACGTTGTCGCAGAAAGCCATGCAGCGAACTTAAGTTGCTGCACAATACATCAGTCACAAATGCCAACCTTTTGCTCGTCCTGATTTGAGGACCATGCACCTAGCACGAGATTAAGTCTTTCTATTCGAGAAAAACAAGTATTTGCACTCCGCAAAGGCTTCCCAGCGAACGAAGGTCCTTGCAAAACCCGTGCTTGCGGTCAGCTGTAATATGGCTACGTCTGGTACTCAAGCAGTCACTAACAGGAAGTCAGCGATACGTGAGAGGTTCCCAAATTGCATTTCCCTTTCTGAGGGCACTCTTTTCATGGATTCTAAATGGAAATGTCAAAGAATTCCAGTTTGGGGTTCCCATTGAGATCCCAAACATCGCGAAGGCTGAATGGAGGCGCACGAGCCTTGAGGTCAAAGCCTTTCCGGCAGCTGGGCGGCTTGCCTAGGACCTGCAAGTCAACCGAGAGAGGCGGAAAGCCAAGCCCTCGTTCAGCCAAACCGAAACCCAGCTAACCGGAACAACCTTCCGATTCCGAGTCGCGGGACCCAGGCGCTTGTTGCAAAGCCACTTCCAGAAGAATAGACGTTCAGCATGGCTCAGCTTCATTAGCTTGAAGAAACACGAGGCACAAGCTGCAAAGGCGCAGTCAGCAGGACAAGCCGCCATGACCACTATAAAGCATGGGATTGGATGGGTCAACAGTATACCATCCATTCCCTGCTTGACGAGTCTTCCGGTTGCCAGAGTGGAATAAGAAATGATGCAGCCAATTGTGAGCCCACCGTCAAACACACAATACGTGCACAAACACACAGGTTATGTAAAGCGAATCGGAAACTCTGTCCGTGTCCGAACCCCCAAACTGGAATGATACAGCAATAGAGCAATGTCATTTGATCGCGCAATCTGGTTGTTCTGGCCAATAGCATGTGGAAGATCACATCTTTCAGAAGGCTGCAAATGAGCTCAAATAATGTAGTGTCAGATGTGTTTTGTTGTGTTGTTCTTCTTTCTTCTTTTCTTAACAATAATAATAACAATACTGCCGATTGGCAATCCAAAGCACCACTCATGATCCCAAGCCTTCAACAGAGGCCCAGTGCCGGTGCCGACTCCCCAACTCGAGCGTCCCATCCTCCGGCAGGGCCATGGCCAAAGACTCTTCGTTGCGGCGGATGAGCAGCTCCTTCGGTCGGATTCAAGACGAACATGTGCTTGCAGTATTACATGTGCATAATTCAAAATGTATCTCTGTAGATAGGAATCAGCACGAACCTTCGGTATCCTCAAATCAACCTTCATCCGAAGCCATCAATGCTGGGTCAACTAGTCGCCTCTGCGATTTGTAATACATACCAGTTGTAGAATGCATAAGAATGCCTGAGCAAAGCTATGGCACCGCCCTGACCGTAGAGGGGAGATTGTTGCGTTGGTCTATGGTTGCCACTTTGGCCGGGTGCATCTGCAGGTGGCAGGTGCGCAAGCTCCATATATCAATAGTGGCACACCTATATTGACATTGTGAGCGCCAGGACTGATGCCTTGACAACTTTGAGTGAACTTGCCCGTTGCAAGATTCCAAGGAAGCGGTGTATTGCTTGGAATTGTGGAACATGTCCTGATCAAAGCTTAAAATAGCTTTGGACTGATGAGCCAGCCTGCAACTGCACATGACAGTTGGCTCAAGCCGTGCTGATGGGCAAGGTGTTGTTCGGTGTTGGCTTGGTGTTGCTGGGGTGTTGCATTGAAATATGTTGGCCATGGACCATCCTGCAAGGCCATCAGGTGCACGTCCCGGGAGTCACAGTCGCCCTTCTCAAGCAGCCCGCGCACGCCTCGGACAACAGTCTTAAGCTGGCACTAAACCATCAGTTGTGACAAATGCATGAAAAAAGGCTGGTCCTGTCTGGGTCTGATGGATACTGAAGCCAGCTCAGGAAACAAAAGCAAGCATGAGGCCCGACATGGGCAAGGATACCAAAGAGTGAATTGTTTGCTGCCTCTTTCTCAGATCCAGTATTCGTGCGAGTCGCTCCTTGTTGCGTTTGCTGCAGCTCATGTTGAGCAGTGTGTCGCAAAATGTGACACCCCTCCAAATGGCAATGGGGGTTTTGCTTCGGTTTTCACGAGAAAAAACGCCGGCGGGGGAAAAAAAACAAGGGAAGAAACAGAGACAAAGTAAACGCCAACAGGCGTCAAGCAAAGTATAGCAGCATAGCCAAAGTGTATTCCCGAGTTACCCAGAGCCAGGTTGGCAATGGGCCGCATCCGCGAGATTTCGGCGGTGCACTCGTCCAGGCGGACCTGCCTCACGGGTCACCGTTCGCGGACATGGTCTGTTGTGAGGTGGTCCCTCTTGGCCTGCAGACAAGCTGCCAACAAAGCTCTGAGCTTGAAGCGATGCTCAAATTGCTGCCAAGTCAGGAAGTCCACAGGTTACATTTACAAACGAATTGAGGAGTCCCTGTGACATGGATCTTATTCGGAGCGGGAGATCGAGCTGCGTAGGGCGTGGGGGGCGCTTGCACTTGGCCTCTGCTTGAGCTCGTGCTGCAGCACGTCCAACTCTACGCCCCGGGACCGGACCTCATGGAGTGCCAGCACCAGGTCTGACTCGCTCTGCAGCACCTCCGCCTGAGTCGAGTTCGGCGTGCCACGACGTGCCCCGTGTCCATTTTGCCCCACACAAAGCTGCTGCAGTTGCGGGGCATGGGGTCCGTGCACGTGTAAATCAATGCTCAAGCAACAAAGGGAACAAACCGAAACTGTAAAACGACCCGAAAGCATTGACTCTGGCGTCTTGTTTCTTGACTTCTTTCGAGCAAGGCCTTTTCATCTGAGAATGTTCGCATGATTCCAGAAAGCACTCCCAAGCATATCCATCCCTCAAAGTGAAGATCTCTCACTGGATTGCACAAGCAATTGGCCCGCAGCCCACTGTTTTTTGCTCGCCGGTTGGGGCGGGAGGGCTTGCTGGAACGCACCTTCAACCTATGCAATCCACGCTCCAGTCTCTCCCCACCTGATCCCACCAGCCCCATCAAGCCTCCACCGCGTGGAACATGGCCCTCGCACGCTCGTGCGAGTGGGCCAGGCGATCCTTTGCAGCATTGAAGGTCTCCTGGCAGTTGACACAGGAGGCCACAGCACTGGGATAAGGTGTGCTATACACTGTTTGAACGTGTCTTCCTTGCAAAGAATCGATCTTCCACAGTCGGCGGCAAAGGCAAGGAAACCACTGTGACGGGCGTGAGCCCGAAGTTGTAATTCAAATCCTTCCAGGCCTTCCAGAGCAAATATGTGGTGAAAGGCTTCTCGCAGTCTTGCAAACATGTATCTGTATATATATATATATATGTATGGGTTTGATTTTTTTTACGGGGGCCGGGCAGGAAGGTTTGAGTACGGGGTATGATTCGCAGGTATGATTCGCGGGTATGATTCGGGGTGTGATTCGGGGGTATGATTCGCGGAAGCAACAGCAGCAGCAGCAGCAGCAGCAGTAGTAGTTGCAGAGCAGTAGGAGTAGGAGTAGTAGTAGTAGTAGTAGTAGTAGTAGTAGTAGTAGTAGTAGTAGTAATAGTAGTTAGTAGTAATCGTAGTAGTAGGAGTAGTAGTAGTAGTAGTAGTAGTAGTGGCAGTATTGTAGTAGTAACATCAGTAGTAGTAGTAGTAGTAGTAGTAGTAGTAGTAGTAGTAGTAGTAGTAGTAGTAGTGGTAGTAGTAGTAGTAGTAGTACTAGTAGCAGTAGCAGTAGCAGTAGCAGTCGCAGTAGCAGTAGCAGTAGCAGTAGCAGTAGCAGTAGCAGTAGCAGTAGCAGTAGTAGTAGTAGTAGTAGTAGTAGTAGTAGTAGTAGTAGTAGTAGTAGTAACAGTAGAAGCAGCGACTGTAGCGGCGCGGAAGCTTTGAAAAGACATGGCGCTGGCCTTGGCAAGGCAAGTTCATTGCGCGGGTATGATTCGCGGGTATGATTCGGCTAGGTGCAAAACGGCACTGATTACAAACTCAGAATGTAGTAGTAGCTGTGGTGGTAGTAGTAGCAGTTGCAGAAGTAGTGGTAGCAGCTGTAGCATAAGCAGCAGCGGCTGTAGTGGTGCGGACGCTTTGAAAAAGACATGGCACCTGCCTTGGCAGGGGAAGCTCATTGTCCGGGTGATTCGCGGGTATGATTCGGCTAGGTGCAAAACGGCACTGATTACAGACTCAGAATGATGTATGTAGTAGTAGTGAGTATAGTAGCAGCAGCAGCAGGAATAGTAGTAGTAGTAGAAGTAGTAGTAGTAGTAGTAGCAGCAGCAGCAGCAGTAGTTAGTAGTAAGGGTAGCAGAAGCAGAAGTAGAAGCAGTAGAGTAGTAGTAGCAGCGGTAGTAGCGGCGGTAGTGGTAGTAATACTCGTAGTCGCGGTAGTAGCAGTAGTAGTAGTAGTAGTAGTGGTAGTAGCAGTAGTAGTAGTAACTGGAGTAGTAGTAGTAGTAGTAGTAGTAGTAGTAGTAGTAGTAACTGGAGTAGTAGTAGTAGTAGTAGTAGTAGTAGTAGTAGTAGTAGTGGTAGTGGTAGTATTGGGTAGCGCTGGTGGTGGTTGTTGTGGAGGCAGTGAACAACACAAAACGGTAGAGGAACAGTAGCATCTTGCAGCATGCGTTTTAAGGGGTATGATTCGGGGGTATGATTCGGGGGCATGATTCGGGGAGGTCCCACCTTCTGCCTTTTGAAGCAACTCAACACACCAAAAAAAGACAAACCCATATATACATATGCATAGATCATGGTGTGTGTGACAATTTATACACATATATATATATATTGTGTATCATACATGTTTTGTGTTTAACAAGTCATTGCACATCCCATGATATTGCCAATGCCCGCCCTGCGAGCACAAAAACTCTAGGGAGGCGAGGCCATTGATCCGCCGGGTCCCATGAGCCTCGACGAACTTCATCATCTGAGGATGTACTCGTTCTAAGCTCCTCGCCTCGTCCTGAGAAGTGCTGGTGGCATTTCGTTGTAAGTTTTTGACAGCTCTAATTTCAAGATTGACAAACCTGCACATGCTGATTGATTACTGCTGTGCCTTTGCTGGAGAAGCATTGTGATCATGCTTTCTGCAACTCTCTTGTACACACAATGTGCGACCTAAAATTCCGGGAGACCATGCTGACAACACATACCCTATTTATATATATATATATGCTCACCCCCCCCCCAGGGCCTACCTTTCCACTTCAAAATGTACAAAACCCTCTTATTTTAAGGACAGGGGGTGTGAGCATATATACGCAAGAAGTGTGCTGTTGCTGCATATTTGTTTGTGGGTGACAAGTCATGTTGAGTAACAACAGCAAAGAGTTTATAAACTTTCAAGACAGTTTATAAACCATGTCAAGGGTTTGACGGTTTCCTTGCAACAAGGGCAGGGGGGGGAGGGGGGGGGGGGTACTGAGAAGTCTTTACAAAGTTGGCTGAGTCACACCTCACTGCTAAGACTTCCAACCAACCACCCCCCCCCCTCCTTCAACGATACCATGAACACTTCGTAGGGTGTTGTTGCCTTGATGCGGGAAACTCGTCAAACACTCAATAAGGTTTATAAACTTTTCTGAAAGATTATAAACCTTCTGTAGGCTTATTGCGTAGCAAGTGGAAACTATTGTTTGGGAAGAAAAGGACACTCATTTGGGGCCTTGTTTGATGTGGTTTGGGCATGTGGTCCTAAAAGGTTGATGATTGTGTGTGTGTGTGTCATCACTGCTGCACTGTTATATCAAAGGCTGTCCTGTAAGCATCTGATTTATCAGTAGAGCACTCATTACCTCAATGGCTTGGTTTCTCAATGGCATCAAAGCTGGCCACAGGCTCAAAAAAATGCAAAAACTGCAAAAATCCAGACCAATCAAGCCCTGACCTCTGACTTGCATCTGGGTTTTGCATTTTTTGCATTGTTTTGAGCCTGTGCAGGTTTTGGAGCTTCCAGGTTTGGATTTTTTTGCATTTTTTGAGCCTGTGCAGGTTTTAAGCACCCAAGGCTCCAAAACCTGCACGGGCTCAAAAAAATGCAAAAAATCCAAACCAGGAAGCCTCAAAACCTGCACAGGCTCAAAAAAATGCAAAAACTGCAAAAATCCAGACCAATCAAGCCCTGACCTCTGACTTGCATCTGGGTTTTGCATTTTTTGCATTTTTTTGAGCCTGTGCAGGTTTTGGAGCTTCCAGGTTTGGATTTTTTGCATTTTTTTGAGCCTGTGCAGGTTTTAAGCACCGAAGGCTCCAAAACCTGCACAGGCTCAAACAAATGCAAAAAATGCAAAAATCCAGACCAATCAAGCCCTGACCTCTGACTTGCATCTGGGTTTTGCATTTTTTGCATTTTGTTGAGCCTGTGCAGGTTTTGGAGCGTCCAGGTTTGGATGTTTTGCATTTTTTGAGCCTGTGCAGGTTTTAAGCACCCAAGGCTCCAAAACCTGCACAGGCTCAAAAAAAAGCAAAAAATCCAAACCAGGAAGCCTCAAAACCTGCACAGGCTCAAAAAAATGCAAAAAATCCAAACCAGGAAGCCTCAAAACCTGCACAGGCTCAAAAAAATGCAAAATCTGCAAAAATCCAGACCAATCAAGCCCTGACCTCTGACTTGCATCTGGGTTTTGCATTTTTTGCATTGTTTTGAGCCTGTGCAGGTTTTGGAGCTTCCAGGTTTGGATGTTTTGCATTTGTTTGAGCCTGTGCAGGTTTTAAGCACCGAAGGCTTCAAAACCTGCACAGGCTCAAACAAATGCAAAAAATGCAAAAATATATATATGCATTTTTTGCATTCTTTTGAGCCTGTGCAGGTTTTGGAGCTTCCAGGTTTGGAGTTTTTGCATTTTTTGAGCCTGTGCAGGTTTTAAGCACCCAAGGCTCCAAAACCTGCACAGGCTCAAACAAATGCAAAAAATGCAACATCCAGACCAATCAAGCCCTGACCTCTAACATTGCATCTGGGTTTTGCATGTTTTGCATTTGTTTGAGCCTGTGCAGGTTTTGGAGCTTCCAGGTTTGGTTTTGTTTTTGCATTTTTTTGAGCCTGTGCAGGTTTTGAGGCTGAAACCATCAAAAAACGTTTAAAAAAAGGTGTTGTTTTGCAGTTTCCTTTAAAAACACTGCAAATAACAGTGATTTCACAACTGACAAAGTTGCATCTGAAAACGCTTTCCGTTTTCGTGTTTGTTGCTTTCTCGAATCCTGTTTTGCATCAAGTACAGAAAGCACATCTGAGACAATATCAAAAATTGCACAAAAACACCGTAAATTACAGTGCTTTCTGCAAGGCATCTGCAAACCAAGTGGACACTGAACATCTGCAAGAAAATCTCTTTCATGCAAAAAGTAGAAAGGTAGGCCCTGGGGGGGGGGGTGACCATAGCTCACCCCCCCCCCCCAGGATATATATATATATATATCATCACCACCACCGCCACCGCCACCAAGAAACATACCCGCAATAGCCTTCAACAGGTTGTGGCTTGACTGATCCTTCCGTACAGCTTGGCTCTCTAATAGATTGCCACTCACACGGGTTGAAGCTGATTCTACTGGGTTGTGGAGAAACGGTTCAGTCTCTTCATGCATGTAGTGCAGAAGAGTACTGCCTTGAACTGCGTCTCCTCTCCAAGTGTGTAACGCTTGCCAAACTGTTGCTCAACTTTCATCAGTGACAGCAGCCCCGTAGCACTTGGCACTCCACATGTTTTGCCGACTTGCTATTTGCCGATCATTGGTCATGCTTCCACCTTGGCAATGCCGGCATGTTTGCAACTTGCGCACGCGAGTCCTCCGTTCGCCGGCGCTTTTGCGGGGTGAAGCAGGCCATGGCGGAAGCTGCGGCCGGTGCCTGGGTTTCTTAGATAAAAAGCTGCAGAGAAGTCCAGGCACAGGCAGTTGGGCTCTGGATTGGGCCACCGGGCCTTCCCCAGTTTGACAAGATCAGTGGCAAAATGTCAACCAGCTGAAGGGGATAGCGCGCGCTGTGGGCTTTGTTTCGGGCAGCTCAAGCTTTTGGGGCCTGAACCTCAATGACCCAGCTTCAAACCATGCTGCAGGCCTGCCCGTCAAGCATGCCTCGTGTTTGGAATAGGAGACACTTGTCAACGAGACCGACCCAGCAAGATTTCTTGGAGCTTGTGTCCTTTTGGTTCACGGAAACCAGCCACAGGCAGGAGCCTCTATCGGGAACGCTTTGCTCTGCAACCCGCTTGACGAGCGACACCCTAAGATGATGTCCGCTTCTCCTAATCCAGCAAGGAAACACTGTGTTGATGCAAACATTAATACGCAAATTTAAATGAAGGTGCTTCAAATAAGGTTGATGTGCATGTTGTATGTGCTATCGTTTCCCCTTGCATAGTGATTTGGAAGCCTCTGAGATTCTGGCCTTCAGGGCCGCGCAAAGCATGAGCAGGCCATGCAGCGGGGTGGAGGCTCGATACCAGACAGTAGAGGTGAGCACCACCTGCCAAGCGAGCGCACGGAGCTGAATGGTTCTGCGTCGGCTACCAGGCTAGCGTGAACTATTTCATATGTGCCAAGTACGCATTGTGGAAAGAGTACACCAAAATCAATCCCACAACAGATTGTCCGGGGCTCTAGTCTGTTCCTTGGCCTTCACATCGACCTCATTGATTCTGATGACCCATCTGCAAACAGGCCAGCGGGGCCGCGAACTGCACAAAGAGGGAGAAGGTGATGCTTGCCACGCCCCACAGCAGAGGCAAGTGAGCCTCCGTGCAGAACAGGCTATGATTAACCCCGCGAACCCCGAAAAACGGAAAATGCATACGAAGAAGGGCAAATGATGCTCACTTGGGCGCGCACCCATTGGTAGGGCAGGTGCATCTGGTTCGCATTCACGAAATCGAGCTCGCCCTGACCATGAAAACGCCATGCGTATAGAGAGGTTGGCTGGTGGGCAAGGCATGAAGATGCGGGTGTCCTGGAACGACTCAACCAGGTGGCGACGGCAGGCAGTGAAAACCCAACCTCGTGTTCTTACGCAAGACGGAACCCGAATTCAACGGAGATGTACAAGCTCTCATTGGAGGCATTGCGGCTGTTTGAGAGCCCTCGCAAATTTGAGCTCTGAGAGACGACAGGGAGAGGACAATGTTTCAAACATTGGGGCAGTCCCCCGATTGTTGCAGGCTGGAAAGCATTGGTGCCCCTAGTGCATTGATTACCTGAACCTTCTTCAATGCCAAGATTGCCAGGTGAGGGTATTGCAACTGACTTAGAACGGAACAAAAAATGATCCACCAAGGGGAAGTTCCTACACCCATACGTTCCATGGTGCTCTAAAGGAGGGAAGCCTTCCAGGGCCTTTTTGCAGTTCGGAGAGCCCCGGATGTAACCTTCAGGTGTGCCACAAGCACATACTGCTATCTCATCGGCAATCTATTCAAAGGGTATGCTGCCAACCAGGCCAAGGCCATCCGGTTCAATCATGGAAATGCACATAAACAAAAGCAATAATTACGCTGAGACCCAACTTGTCCTGCATCAGCCTAGCAACCCAGAGTGCGGCCAAAGCGGGCGGCAAAGTGTGGCCTGAATGACGTTCATCCTCATGTTCGGGTCAAAAATGCCAGCCTCGACTCGACTCGAGCCGGGGACAAGCCTAGGAAAAGTCAAGGGGTTAGGTTGGGTTGCCGCAAGACTTTGACATCTCACCTAGCAATGCAATTCACCACAAAGGGAGACATGCGGCCCCCAAACTTGCCCGCTCCTGGATGGCAGGTCAGTCTCGGAGACGAAAAGGCCAAGCGTGAAACGTCAGATCCATCAACGCGGCGATGTTCTATAAGCTCAAAAGGGGAGATTGCAACCCGGTGATAGAGCGGGCCCTATCCATGTGCAGCGCTGTCAGACACGCAGCCAGATTGGTCACACAACATTTCACCTCACCTACACTAAAGAAGAACCCTTTTAACACAGTTCGAAGTCATCAACTCACGGACGAATGCGCGCGCTACTTTAACCAAGTCGCATAGAAAAACTCCACCTTCGGCAACGAGAGCCTTGTCCTTGCCCGTCGGGTGCCGGCCATCCAAATGAGGCAACTGGAACACATCAATTCCAACTGATAGCAAAAATTATGTGCCACAAAAAGCAGCAGCATGCCGCGAATCTCCGAGCAAAACGAACCGTGATCTACATGCAGCTCCAGATGTCCACGGGATTCTTGGAAAGTCAGGCTCTACATTCAACACACACGCACGCACGCACGCATGAACGCTTGACCCTCCCAAACCATGCACAGGAAGCAAAGGGCAAAAAGGGCAAAACACCATTGCATGCGGATGAGGCTGTTGCACCATGATCCAAGCTCATGGCTGGCACTTGATGGAATACGGCCTCTCTATTTTTCGTGGCTATAGGCTCATAGGTCATGGGCTTCTGTACAGGAAACAGCATGGCTCCAACGATTCTTTCATTCCGGGATCAGCCTCCGAGAAAACACTTGGCTGTGGGCACCGTATTGGCAAAATGAATCCAGGGTGCAATTCGGCGAGTGATAGCATGTCTCGTACGTTGCTTGGAGAGATGAAACACGCAGAATCACTCAGGTATAACGCATATGCGAGGGTGGTGTACAGCCAAATATCTTACTTTGACCCTCAATGCAATATGCAACCTCTCGTGCCTCGCAACCGGTCCTGAGCATGCCTCAACATGTTGAGCAACTGTTCAAACCTGTCAAAATCCGCTGCCTGCAGTCGCCAACCCAGGCCATTCGATTTATCCCTGATGGGGGTATGCAGCATGTCCTGATGTCGAGGTGGTGTGATAGAGGTTGTCTCCACTGACTCGGCGCACGTAGCGATTCCAAACACTGGCAAACGCACAAACTGCTTGGCATGGGTGGTAGAATCCTGCGAAGCCTTGCAACCAAAACAATATTTCTTCGTTCACCTCACTGGCCTCAATATTTTACCATGATCAAAGTCACACCCTAAGTGGGGTTAAAAAGAAACAACCCCACTTACTGACTTTGATGAACCCCAGAAACTGTCAAATTAATGACCCCAGCCTCAAACAGGGTACTGCTGCTTCCCACACTCGCACAGGGCCTGAGAGCTGGTGTCCCCCTTCATACTTTTACTACACAGCAGCCCTTGTTTCAAACCCTCGCAGGATCCCTTGCAAATCTCCTACACATGACCGCAACAAGCCTAACCTTCAAAACAGTTCCATTGTCAACGCGTCCTTCGATGTCGTGAGGCTCTTGCACAATGTCGACCATACCCTGGATGCGTACCACAGAACTACCCGGTTCTGCAGACTGGGCACAGCGAGACTACTGGTCGTCCCGCCTGGCAATGTACCAGGTCAGGTTCCCGCTCGCCAGCCGTGGCGGGGCGCGGATCCAGTCAATGAACTGGCAGGAACGAAACGACTGTCGCACAGGACATTGTTGAGAAGGTAAGACAAATAGCCATGCAATGAATATTAAACTAGCATGATAAAGAGAGAGAGAGAGAAAGAGAGAGAGAGAGAGAAAGAAAGAGAGAGAGAGAGAAAGAGAGAGAGAGAGAGAGAGAGCGCGAGCGAGCGACAGTGAGAGACGAGCGAGCAAACAAGTGTGTGTGTGTATGCTAGAAATAGAGAATGAACATACTTATCATTTTTAGAACCGCAACTCGTCTCTCTCTTGAATGTAATTTCCTGGAAGATAGCGATGGTGGCTCCTAAAGAGAACATAATGAGAATGTGCTACAAACATGTGTCAATGCAACAGTCACTGCAGCATGTCCAAGTACTATTCCTGTCGACATAGCTTTATTACACCTCAATTGATGGAGGGGAAGCAATCAAATAGGAGCAATATTCTGACGTGTAATGAGGGTTGAAAAGATGTGGCAGTGGCCCAAACCTGTTGCTCCCAAGCAAGGGCATCTCCGCAAAAGAAATACTCAATACTACTTTTCGTACTCCTGTGTGTCACTTTCGCGGAGCATTCATACAAGCCCCCCCCGGTCCCCAAAACAAAAATCAAAAAAACACGGGCAAGAAAGTAAGCTGATTGATAAGCAAACACCTTCCCAGTTAACTAATTTGTATTAAATACACTTTTGAAGCTTCATGACATCTTTCAGAACAAGTCGTACACGAAGTAGGCTTTTGCAGCTCCAGCTGGAAAATCGCAAGTGTTCAGTGCAAACGTGGTACACAAAATGCACTTTGGAGAAGCTGGCACTGTCACCAGTGCCATAACATCCATCACACAGTCCGTGGCGAGTCTTTTGGGTGAGATGAAGGGTTCCTTAGATTGCCCCGGTGGGTTGGTGTCTTTTTGCTGCACTCAAAGTCTCCAAACAGCTGAGCCACCAACTGTTGCCACAACTCCATGACAATTGATCACATGCAGGCAAACAACAGCAAGGTGACTTCTATAGTCGGTGTGTGACCAAAGTTTGGAGCCCACAGTCTACAGTTCGCCGGTCCATTGCCACAAATGCCATTGCAAATGTCCTGTATGCTGCCAGGTGTAAATTTTGAGTGTCGTGACAGCCTGGCATCACACCCAATTTGACTGGTCATTGCAAACCTGTTTGACTTGCCCCCTTTGATACAGGCGACAAGGGGCCTTACTTCCAAAGAGCTGTGTTGAGAAAAATGCTCCTCTCTCCAGGGTGCGAGTCAAATGTTGTTGCAAGCTAAGCAATATTGCTGAAGCCACGCATTATTGGCACTTGGCCGTATCAATGTGAACGGTATCGTCCTGCCTGTTCTGATGAAAGAAGCAGGAACACCTCAGCGGAGTGAACGCAATGGACGTGTCGAAGCTTGACCTACCACGCAAGTCAAGGACTCCACGAGACTCTGCTGGGCCGAAACTGCCTGGGTCGTTTCATGATCATACCTTCACACACGCGGCTGCGTGATGTGCTTGCATCAGCAAAACATTCTTGCAAGAAAATTGTGGCCGGTTCGTAACTGCTGACGCCATGAAAAGAGATACCATCGCTCTCATGGCCGATCCGAGAAAGAGGCCACCAAACCCCCGAACATGAGGCCGTCTTGGAGCCCTTGAAGTGTGGGAACCAACACATCTGCTAGCTTTGTTTGTTTTATCACAGCGCTTGTTCAAAATGGACAGGAATCTAAGATGAACAAACTACTGGCAAAAAACACAACTCCTACAACTATTCTCAAATGTCAGGCAAAGAAGCAACAACTTCGGAAGACACGGGCACAGTTTCAGTTAAGTCATTGCAGCAAGGTTCGGATGTACAGTTCCTCCCGTCGCAAGCCATCTAGTAGGCTCACTGGGGTGGGTCAAATCAAAAGGGAATAGTTTGGATTTGGGGTTTGGTTCATGCATGGGCCTGAGGTTTGCCTGCTCATGGATGCAGGCTCTGTTTTTGGTTTTCGGGCATGTGGAGCAAGGCTCAAGGTTCTTTGCGGGCTACTACTGGCGACCCAACGATGGCAACTGGTTGACCACATCAGATCACCGCTTGCCCCGCTTGCCGCTCAAAATTTTCGAATCGGTCCAAAAGTGTCTCAGCTCCCCGACGGCACCGGGCCCGGAACTGGTGAGGTTCAGGGAGAGCTCGGCCCCCGGAGTGAGCCCCACATTGGGCCTCGCTCAGGCTATGGGCATGGTTTGGACTCGGCGCGCTTGACCTTCAGCAATCGAAAAGTTCAAAGCAACCACACAACTTGAGTAAAGGGCATTTCTTAAGTTGCGAAGGGGTTGGCTAAAAAAACACGAACACAAGGCCACCCTCGAAGTCATTGCGTGAGTCCCTTGCATGGGTTCGATAGGAAGTGGCTCTAGAAGTAAGGGCTGTCCTGGAAACATATTTCTTCGCGGGTAGCCCCGAAGGTGTTTTTTGTTTGCCCCTGGGTGTGAGCGTGCATTGACTTTGCGTCGGTTTTGTTGTCTGCTCTACAAATCATTCAACCGTAAAATGGGCATGTTGATTCCACAATGGACGTTTTAAACACTTAGCAAAATCATCTTAGCCAGTCCACCTCTGCGAAACAAATGGACGTGACAATAATTAGTCTTGAGGAGGGCCTTTGAACAATCTTGTAACATGGTGATCAACACATATATATATATAATCATATATACAGTTACATATATATATATATATATACATATATGGCTGCCCCACAAAGGTGAACATTCGAATTCACTGGACAGCCTTCCCGCTGGTGCAGGCAACGTCTCCACGAATCTCGCTCACTGGAGGACATACTGTTCTACCAATCAGCTGCCCAGGAGGTACTGTATTTTGGGCAAAGCGACTCTCCGCGTGTTGATTACTCCGCTGTTAAATTGCTACCACGCCTTTTTTGCTGCACAGGGCCGCCTGAGGCCCCTGCATAAGCAACAGAAACGGCGCCTCGACGGCGATCGGCTCGATGGTCACCTGGCCGTTTTGAAGTCCATCCGCAAATGGACAGGTGGCAACAACCAGTCACCCCCAATGGGTGTCTCTTTTGATGAAAGTTCCCTTGTTTGGGTGTGTTTCAATCTGCTTCAATTGAAGGGATACGAACACTTCTTCTGAAGGGGAGGGATTCCCTCCGAAACATGGCAAACCCAAATACTGGGTTGCATGGTGTCCCTTCAAAATCGACGAAAACGAACTCCAATCTCCGGAGCTCATCCACAGACCGGCCACAGACCTTCCTGCTCGACATGCAAGCTTGGGAGTCAGAACTTCCTGCTCCACAGACCTTCCTGCTTGGGACTTAGATAACGCTTAGCGTGCAGGACTGTTTAGATGTCAAATCTCCAAGAGTGGTGTGTCTCTGCAACACTGGTTCAAACAAACCAATAACTCGGGTAAAACAAACCAGAAAGTTAACCACTGTTGATCCCCCTAGCCTGGCAGCTCTGTACACAGCGTGTCTCTCCAACTAGTCTGGTGCAGTGCTTTGGGCGGGCATTTGTAAGTGTCACCAATCACAGGTTCGGATCAGGCGCACGCATGTCGTGGCCCATGGAGGGCAAGTACATCTGAGGCGATAAAAGTGCGAATGCTGCCTACCCAGGCAGCAAGTTGGAAAGTTGGGGTGCAATTCAAAGTTAACGTTCCTTTCAAAGGCGGATTGTTCTTGTCCCGGAAAAAAACTTACCCAAACTGGAGAAATGCGTCCACTTTGCGGCATGTCCTACTGTGGCGCTTTCTCGACTGCGGCCTATGCCCCGCCTTGAGCCCTGAGCTCCCTGCGCCAAGTGCTAGGACCAGGGCCCTGAGCGGCACTCAGACCCCCAAGATCTCAGGGCAGCTGGTGCAAAGTGCACTGCGTCCGACTTGTAGCATCTCATCACATGCCACATGCATGCTCATCATCTTCGAAAAGGGCGGATTTGCCTGCGAGAGGCGAATCGAGGGGCGTCACATGTCATGCCTTGAGCTGCCAGAGTTTGCTCTTCTCTCGGAATACCCTGGCCTGAACCAAGAGTTTATTGTCCCACCAGGGACATCCGCTGGTTCAACCAGATCCTCGCCTCCACATTGGCGGCGAAGCTCTCCATGGGCAGAGCCACGCGCTAAATTCTATGCGTGTTTCTTTGTCGTGGAATCGACCGAAGGGCAGAAACCATGTGCGGCTGGCGATGCTAATACACTAATTGTTAGCAAAAAGAGGTCTCTTTCAACAGGGCAACGCGCTCATGAGCTTGGTCCTGTCGCTCAGCTCGAGCATTAAGGATTACATAAATGCATCCACAGCCAGGGCCCGAGCGGAGAATACCTGTCAAATCCAGAATTGTGCGTGAGAGCCAAGCCTATTGATCTATTGCTGGTTTCATCACCAGTAGCTCCGAATTGGTCTCATGCAACTGCCGGTGTCAAAGCATCTTGGTCTTTGCAAGTCACAACATTGAATATCTCCAATATCTTTGCGCCGTGCTCGAATCAATGCATTGGGGTGGGGGGTGGGGGATTTCCGCTGACGAGAAGCAAAGGCTCGGCTTGAGGCTAAAGCTGGCGAATGCTCAACTGAGACCTACCAGTAGTCCACTCCCATGACATCAGTGTTGGCCTGTTGTTGGCAGGACGCTTGTGAGACCAATGATGTGCTGTTAATCGACATCGCCTATCACATGCACAGACTAGCTCTCCTAGCTGAACTGATAGAATGCAATTGCGCAGAGTGCATCGCTGTTAAACATACACGTTCTCAATCACAGGGCACTGTCACTGCCAAAGACAAAAAACGAGCCCGGGATTCCGATCAACTTCAAACATGCCACGCAGATCCTACAGTCATGAACTCGCAACACATTGAGAATTTGCGCAGCTCCTTTCAACACCTCGCGGAACCACTTCTCAAAGAGCCGCTGGTGTCCTGGCTGCCGACTAGCATACTTCAATAGTCCAGACTCTTGCTTCCAACAATATCCTACTTGGAGGGGCATAGTGAGCAAAACGGATTCAAAAAGGCTCCATTCGACCTACTTATCTGTAATCCTTGCAACCTCAACTTTCAACTTCTGCACCCCATTCACGGCTAAGGACTGTGTGCAGCTTGCAACATCCCATCTTTTGGACCCACTCCATCTCTGGCTGGGCTCCGTTCAAATTGCAAACTTATGCATATCACGATGAAGAGGCACCGTTTGAAGCCTTGTAGCAATCATTGTCAGGAGGAGAATCTTAGGGAGATCATTCGATTGGATGAATAGCCATTCCCTGTGGTCTGGGTATAGCAGCATTGGAGTTGTCTACGAATCCCCTTGGACAAGAACAAAAGCGATTTCTTTCAATGTCCAACCCCGATTCTCACTGCCTCCCACATAAGACTTCTTTTGCCGCTCTTTGGCATGTCGCCTTTCGCACACACGCCTCTAAGCGACTTGGACAAGTGGCAGGCTGGTCAAACGTGCTCCGGCCCGCCAAGCTTCTTGATGCTTGTATCCTCAAAGAATTGCTGGTCGACCACTCCGTCCTGGGACAGCCAGCACCCTAGCACAATATTCAATTTGCTGCAACTGCGAGAGCCTGAAGCAAAACCACCAAACCGCCGACATGCAGAATTTATAGGTCTTCTCACATACCGCCGTCAAATTGTCTGAAGCTGTCCGTTTGGCCATCTTGAAAGAGAGTTCACCAGCATTCGCGTTCGAGGAAGATCCCTGGCAAACGCGAAGTTAAAGTTAAGTTTCAGTGCCTCCATCGCGAGTAGTGATGGGTGCAAACAGTTATCTGTACGAATAATAATGCTTTCAAAGCGCTCGCATGGGCCTCTGAATTCATGTGACCGCAAGTTGATGCTTCCCCACCCAGGCTTCGCAGGTGTTTTGCTTCCTGGGTCTGGTTGGCCAGTGCTGGCAGCAGAATGGGAAGCTACTTTAGCCTACAAAGCTTGAAGCTAATCTCCGCAATAGCTAAAATTCAGTGAACTCAATCTGCAAGCTGGCTTTGGTTTTCAAGCCATATCAGTATGGGAAGCTTGGCTTGGCATGGGCGTTGGATGACTCAAGCAGGTATCAAAGCTTGGGATAGACTCAGGTTGCTTCGGGCGGGTGTAGGGTGGGTTTTCGGACAGATCTAAGAAAGGTTCTGAGTACTCGCAGGTGGGTGTTTGTTTGGATTCTGCTGAACTTAAAATTATGTTTTGGGCGCGTTTCTGCTGGGTTTAGGATTGCTTCCGGCTGGTGTTACGTCATATTTGCTTTGAGTTATTGTGGTGAACTCGGGATGAATGTTGATTGTTTCCAGGCTTCAGGTTAACTTGGGGTTGGTTTAGGATGAGTGATTGGTGATGGTGGTTTCGGGTGGGTTTTGGGTGGGTTGGGGTACAGTGCGGTTTAACTTTTGGGTGGGCCAAGCGTGGATGTTGCACGAAATACTGTCTGTCTAGGGTTGCTTCACGGTTGACTTATTCGTTGTCCCAGCTTTTGAGGCATGGCTAAGATAGGTTACCACAACAAACCAAGAGAGTGGGCAACCGCGTGACCGACCGACCGACCAACAGGCCGACCGACGGAGTAACGCGTGGGACCCTGCCACAACCAGGCCCGCCACTCTGGCAAAAGAACCCGCAAGCCTTGGCATAAATGTGAACAATCTGTGCGACGCTGTCGAACTTGCTGGCAATGTCGTCATGGTACTGAACCTAGCGTTGTGATGGATCAAAACCTTCACTGCTACAAGCATAGCCTGCCAAGTGAGTATCGGCAGGTTGGTCCGTATGGGTAGCAACACCTCAGCCTGCCTGGTCCGTCAATGGGGCAACAAAGAAAGCCCGACAAATTGGACGGGAAAATGGGTAAACCAGGACTGCTCGGTGTCAACAGGTTTAGTTTGATTCGTCCAAGGCACCAAGAAGCCGTTGCTGTCCAAACTTTGTAGCCACTCCTGCAACACTGCGGCCGATCTCCCGACCGTAGAACAATGAATAGCGACGTCCTCGATTGGCATCCTCATGCCGCTTATTTGGACGGTTCTAACCAGCCAGTTGCAGGATTGAGGTGCGGCTTCGGCACTGCAAACCACCCACACAACTCTACGCCCCACTTCAGCCCCCTCTCCTTGAAGCTGGGGTTCGGCAGCTCGGCTTGGCTCTCGGAGCCGCGAGCCACATGCCCAGGCGTGGAAACAGCCACCGGCGGCGAATCCACGGGCGGCTCAGCCGGTCTGTTGGCAGACCTGGGACAGGGTCCAAGTGAGTCTGGATGAGCTTTGAGTGCAAAAACAGAAGGCCGCGCGGGGAACGTTTGCAGTGCACATTGCCATTCTAATATGTGATACACTTCCTACAATATTTGTCTTGTTTGGCAACACACTGCATGTTCATGCAGCCCCCCACAGCAGCATCTGAACACAACATCACGGCTGTAACTTGGTGCATTGTGACCCCAGTCAAGCACACATCCAAAAGAGCACCGGCCAGGCGCGTTATGATGCCCTGCTGAGCGGCGGGTCACGGGGCAGTTGAGGTGGCGAAATGCCCGATGCCTGGGCAAGAAGGTCAGGACTCCAGCAGAATTGGCTAGCTCCTTGTTGTGGATCATGACTTCAAAAGAATCTTGTCACGCAAGAACAATCTCGTCCTGTTGGAACGCCAGATAAGCGCTGGCTCTTCAGTCTTGAAACAATGAAGATCAGAGTAAAGCCCAAGATAGCTCCAGTACGGTACCCTTCAGTGCATTCCGTGGCAAGCAAATATATTGTTGATACAACCAAGGGACTGTTGGCGTTTTTTGGGACTGGGCCTGTCACGTCCTGTTAGAACATGACCGTCTCTAACCGGCAACGCTCATTCCGCCTTGTTTTTGGAGGGCTACAGGCAAGCTTTCGCTGCGTGGATTCTCTCCACACTGCTGAGCAAATGATAGCAAATCGACTGGTCAGCAGGAACTTCCGTTTCTGCAGGCAAACGGATGTGCCAGCTATCTACGAGTTTGCGGGACCTAAGCGGCAAACGCTCCTCTTGCCCGGACTACGCTTGATCTGTCCACTCTCGAACTACGCTCATCAAGTTGCACTGGAAATCCCGCAGGTTATCCGGGTCACGGATGCGGTATCTTTTGACTGAACAAAAATGATGCTGCGTTGTTCTGCCCTTCAGCGATCTGCATCCCTGCCTCCTGCAGGCGGCCTCACGAACAGTGGAGTGGATGGCAAGTGACTAAGGGCCTCAAGGGGCGGCATGTCTCGTGATGTCACGGCGTTCACCTTTTCTTTCCTCAAAGTGGAAGTCAACTATGGTGCTACATAGTATTTATTTCGCATAATTGACTGGCTTTCACCAAGAGTTCAATAAAAGTACTGCCAACGTGCTGCTCTGCTGAAACGAGGGCAAAATCGAGTGAGTTGTTGCTACATGTGTAAAGCAAAGCTGGCCATTTCAGCAATGCACTCAAACCACAAACGGCGCAAGTGATCCTGGAGGAAATATTAACACAAGTAAACACATGTCCTTCCCAATAGATGGTTGTCTTTAAGAGGTGTCCACAATTCATTTTGAGAGGAATTGGCCGCAAAGATGACTTCGCATTTTGCCGGCTTGGCTAGAACAATATAGGAGACAGGGAGACTTTAATTGCCCCCCCAAAGTTGAACATAAACCAAGCTCTCCTGCCTTCTTGCTGTCGCACCCTCAGCTCTTTCCTGGGAAAGGCTCCCATCGAGATGGTCCAAATTGAATTTTGTTACATCGCGCCTCTCCAAATGACCTGTTTTCATATTTCCCTCTTGACCCAACCTCGCAAATGACAAGCAAGGCCGAAAAAAACACATGCACTTGTGGACCAGCATCTCAACATGGCCAAACCCTGATATTGCTCGAAAACCTCTGATTTGTGTCCACCTCGCACACTACCAACGTCCTGACCGCACCTTCAGATCATACTTCGAATGAAAGCAGTCTTGGCGAGACTTCCTCCATGCAGAAGTCAGATGGTCCTCCCAACATCAACCGGGGAAAACGTGTGACGCCTGGTTGACGCCTGGTGCTTGCGAGCGTCAGCCACGCCGGCAGGGCCTCTCCGACGCCCAGGGAGGAAAGGAACTCCTCCATGCCCCGCTCCCATCGCTGAGAGGCACGAGGGGAAAGACGGGAATCAGGGAGGTCGAATTCCACATTGGGAATGCCTGCAGTTGGGTGAGGGCACAAGGTGGGAGAGCGAGAGTGAAATGGATTGGTGCAGTCAGATTGGGGCAAAGGACAAACATTGTTCTTCACACATCTGCAATCATACACATAGTTCTTCTCCGAGAGGCTAACAAGAGAACTTGTGTGGGCCCTGTCCGACAAAACCAGTCTTGCAAGAAAAGCCTTCCCACTCTCCAAGGTGCGAGGGTGAGCACGGGTCTCAGTACAAAAGTGAAGGAATCACCACAAGCTTGCACTCTCTGCTCAAAGCCTGCAAGGCCACGGCATGAAGCGCTGGTAGGCCAAGTTTTGGTGGCATTGCATGATTGTCAAGGGACCTGGAAAGCCATGATGCCATATGCGTGTGCCCAAACATCCACGCAACAAAGCCACACGGGCCTGTGTGTGTGTGTGTGCGGTTCTTGTTTTCTGCAATTTCAAACAATTGTGCCAGCACCAAGTCAAGCAGCACAGTCACGTGCAACCATAGAAAGCCAGAATGCCGCATCATGACACTTTAGTTTCCTACCCAAACTAGGATTCAACCATCAATGCGAATGCCCGGCTCACTGCGAAGAAGAGGCATCTTTTCTTGCGCCGCGCAAATGGAACACGCACTGCGATGAAAGTACGCGCGTGTCAAGCTTGTAGGTGAAGTTATTCATCTAGTCTGCAAGAGCAAAACATGCTGGAAGCACCTACAAGCTTTGCCAGTGGCTCTGCCATTAATTGCGAGCAGGGCGTCAGTCTTTTCTCCTAGCAAACCAAACTTTGGATGGCGCTGCATGTGCAAAAAGGGACTCCCTCAGACCCTCAAGCGGGCCATGTCAACATATTATATCGACTCACGCCGGAGCTGAAGACTCGCGCATGAGGCGCTTCATGGCCTGCTCTCGCTGGTGGCGCCGGGGCCGATACTTCCGCCGTGGCTTGAAGCGTGGTCCCCGAGGGTCTGGCACCTGCTGCCAGCTGCCGTCCACAAGGCGATAGGCCCGGTAGTTGTGCCGGAAGAAGAATCGCCGAACCTGGCAAAGTGACATGAAATGCCTGCTCTCCGAGTCTCGGACAATTGGCCTTGGAGCCTGAATCAAAAGGCTGACTTACAAACTTGAAAACGTGCTTGGCTTTGGTGGCAGTCTTTGATGAAACAGAACCATAGCGACATGTCGCACCATGAACCATGCCTGGGACCACCAGCGGTCTGCGATCTGCTCTTCCAGCTCATCCGAAGTCAGTGTCCGGTCGGAGCTGGTGGAAGCTGTCAACATGCCGTCCTCCGCTGTCGCGGAGTAGACGGCGTCTGGAACTACCTGCTCAAATTGAAGACCAAACCTCCTATCTTCCTCATCGTCGATTTCATCATCGTCTGGGATTTCATCATCTTCTGGGATTTCGTCCTTCTCCCCGTCCTTGGCAATGCAAGTGCGTAGCTTCATTTTGAATCTTTCTACAATTGATTCTCTCTGGTAGGCCGCTGGTTGTTTACCGAGCTGTTGCCCACTCTGCCGGAGGCCAGGTTGCAACACGCCAAAGCACAATTTCCGAGCAAACTTTGGATGGAAACCTGTGTTTCTATGCTTGCACGCAACCCAAAGCACATGAACGCAGTGTGGAAAAATAACATCATGTTGCGGTGCTTACTCCATTGAGGTCAGACAGCCAACAATCACCTCTCAAAGCCCAAAGCATGCTCTAAGAGCCCGAAGCGAAACACATGTCGATTCCTCTGCGCTCAAAGGATGCATCAAATATACTGGATGCCCTTCGCGAAAGCTTCTCACTTTCAGAGAGGAAGCAGGTCAACGCAAAAAAACTTCAGAACCGCCTTGATTTTTGACGAGACTATTTCAACGCTACAAGCAACTTTGAAATGCACATTAAAGCGAAGACTGGATCAGTAACCGCGGTTTGTTGGATCAAGCCGAAACGAAAAGAAACAAATTCCCCAAATGAACAAAACACGCAAAGGAAGCAGTAACACATTGTTCAATCGGCCATCCAACCGTCCCTCTTTGCGCCGGGGCGCGAAGTCCATTTCCGCCTCTGCCATCAACTTGCGCACCTCCTGCATCCGCGGCTTCTGCGGCTGCGCCGGCTGCCACCCCACGCCCGAGTGCTCCGCCTGGCGTGGTGCTGGCGGGGAAATGACAACATCATTTCAATAAACTCTTCAGTCAACATACTTTCAGCATTTTGACCCCTCTCAACTAAAAGACATGGATACAACGAACAAATATGTTGTTTCCCCTTGAAATGTCAAATGACCTTCAGCGATGCAGAAAACCACATTCAGAGTCACATGGCGACTTCCATAATCCGCCACCAAACGAACCGAATGAACCCCGCCCAATGGAAGAGTCCTTCTTTGAAACCTCGGCCATTGAAGATCTACCCATTCCAAAGGAGATCATCCCGGGAAAAGCCCTGATTGAAACTCAAACATAAGTAGAAAGAAAGTGAGCATTGTTGTTCTAGGGAAAACCCCCCCCCTGAAATCCCCTGAATGTCAAACTGTAGAACCTTCAGCCGCACTCTTTTCCCCGTGCTGCGCTCTAGGGCTCGCATCCTGCAAGCACGGACAGGCTGGCTGGATCGTTGGTTGGCAGACTCAACAAAGGGTTCTTGTTGGCTTTAGAACTTTAGAGTCACTTTAGAGGCTCTTGGTTCTTCAGATAAAACATTTGTCTGAGTGACAGGGCTGATAGGAAACAAAGTGCAACTTCTGAAGTGTCCAAGTGCTGCGCTTGGTTGATCAAGGATGGATAACCACCCTGTCACCGTGGCCTTCCCTGGATCCGCGCAAGTCTTTCCCTCTGGATTCAAATCAAGTCGCCGATTCCGATGGGCCAAGCCCGTCCTCTGGGTCCTCCGGCACTAGGTCCACCTCTCGGAATGCGGGCCCCTGCACCTGCAGAGCCCAGATCAGACACATGCACAGCCCAAGCCAAGCCACGAAGCAACACAAAGCAACGCAAAGCAACGCAAAGCAATATAAAGCAAACACAACTTATATGCACGTGTTTCAAACTAAAGGCGACAACAAGTGAATGGGCATCGAAGCAAACAGCTATCCTATGATCTTATTACCACCAACTCATGGAAAAGCTCCTTTCACCGTAGAGAGGGCCGACGGCAGAAGCATGCCTATTTTTGTAGATCAAATGACCACCGCGGCATTCGAACATGATGTTCATTATCTTCTGTAGTTTGGGCGAGTGTATGCGTGTGAGTGTGTCTGTTCTTGATTGAGAAGAACTGGGCGTCAGTTCTAAACAAACTACATTCTCGGGGATCTTTCTTTAAGGAGCACGGCATCAACTCTCTCCCTCGTACCTTTCCTGAAACAGTTCATTCAAGTTCAAATTGGAGTACATAGGCCTTCCCATCATGGACCTCATGGTAAAGGTTTCTCCTGGCAACCAAATGCCAGGCGGGGCCACTGGCTGAAAACATGAGCCCATAGGACCAAACTCAGCCGCACCAGTCTGACTGTCTGACTCTGTCCGCTTTGAAAGAGCAACGTTGTTTGCCCTGGCCTGATGGGCATCTGGGCAGACGTCCACAACATGCAGCCTGGCATGCGAGACGACGTTTAAATCATGGAAAAACGCACCCGCAAACACACTCCGTCAACAGCTTTGAGATTTGGTCTCTACCTTGGGTTGTGTGTTGCAAGTCGACACGTCAGCTGTTGTAGCTTACACAAAATATTGCCGCTCCATTTCAATTGCGTTCAGGGGAGAAGTTTATTCAAAGCTCCGAGGACTCTGGCTAAAGTGTGGAAAGTCAGTCTCCGCAAAGAGAGAAAAGAAAAAGGGGCACTTGCCCCAGCGTCCACATCCTCAACTTCACAACTTATGTCTTTCTTCTCTGCTTGGTCCTGATCGTGGCAATATGGTTTGGTTTCTCTCTTGCTCTCTTTATTTCTTTCTCTCTCCCTCTCTCCCACTGTTGCTCTCGCTTTCTCAAGAAAAACAACTTCTCGTCCACGTGTTCGCACTGATGCCAACATCCGGGGAGATACGGAAAACAAAGCAAAGCTACGTCTTTCAAGTAAAGTATCCTGACTCACGGGGACCTCAATGCTAAGGCAACAGCCGTAAAGGAGATACCTCCTTTAGCAGTGACACTGGCGTTCAAGAAAACCTTGCCAGGGCCCACGGCACCATGTGGAAGTGGGCGGCCATTGCGGAGAAGGAGCTCTTGTAAGAGCCCAGCACCTGCCCAAGTCGTCCGATTCCAAAAGACGGGCAAATGAGGAAGTTTTCCTTTTGTTTTCCTTTTGTGTCCTGAAGTCATCAACTGTCCTTGTGTTTCCGCAAGGTTTCGTATTGGTTCAGCTGTGTTTCCACTTGTCCCAAAACTAGACACATCTTCTCGAGCTCTCGCATTCTTTTGCAGAATTGTAGGACAACATGGCAAACCTACGCAACATATGAGACGATTTGCGGAGCACCCAGCAGTTTGCTCACACGATGTATCAAAACCAACCAGCTCTTTGTTGATGACCGTTTGGGGGGAAGCACAAAGCGTATCTGACACGGGGCATATATGATTCAAGCCAAAAATGAAATGACTCACACATCATGATTTTGTATAGAAGCGTCAGCTTGAAATGGAAGCTTGTGGAACCTCATTGTTGGCTGCCACAAGTATGTTCCAATGATGATCCGCCAAGCTCGGCTGGAACAATTACCGAGACAGCACCGACACCAGCAATGGACACGTTCCTCAGCTCATGTAGACCACCTGCAAGGAGCAGGATGAATTCTAAATTACCGCCCCAATTTGGAAGAGTAGGCAACCAGGCAACAGGCCTCATAGGCAACAGGTCTCAAATCAACGACTTGAATGGATGCTCCGGTCTGCCAGCCACTGTGCTGGGTGATCCCCAAACGTCAACCTCGCTCACTGAGCAAGTGCCGTCTGGTGGAAATGGCATCTCTTAACGGATCCTGGACACTACTCAGAGTTTTGGGATTGGGTACTGTCGCCAGAAACAGTAGTTGAGTGCCTTGCTAGGAGTGCGAGAAAACATGCAAATTAGGCCAGCACTCTCGTGTCGGCTCCCGCGTCACTTCCTTGCGCACACCCGTATCGCAAATATGCAAAATAAGCCAAACCGTTGCCCTGACCACTTTGCCAAAGCATCGCAAGTTCCGCAGATCCCAGCCTCGCAGCCCTGCGAGAGCAGCAGCAGGTCTAGCAACGCATCCTGGATTCCTACAAGGGGCACTGGCCACTCGTCTGACCAAAGCACAAATCTGGCCCCCGCAATGTGCAATAGCCAAACAACACACACAAAAAAAGCCTCTGGTCATCCCCTTTCTGCTGCAACTCAGGGCAATTGCGCGTCTCTTTCCCGAGCGCGTTGTGTCAATCGGAAACAATCGGCCCCGAGGCTATGAATCGCAAGGTTGGGTTTGAAAGGCATACCCGAACTGGACAAATGATTCCAATCCACAAACATTGGGGAGTACCAATTATCGTGTGACCCTCTGAACCCACCAAACGGAAACTAAGGGGAATCAGTCTGGGGAGCAAATGCACATTGTACAGACACGGTCAATGTTGACACTCCATTGATAACCACCTGGCGAATGATTTCCTTGTTTCGGCTCACTGCCAGTCATGCGGATCCAGCTTTGCTAGCCACTAGCACCCCGCTCAAAAGACATGCCTCTCCACCTCCAAACGAAACGTCAACTGTCAATCTCCAAACCTATTTCCAAGACTATTTCGAGTACAATGGCCAATATCTGGCCAATACCTGCAGTTCTAGCGCCATTCAAAATCGTATATAAATCTCCAAAGAAATACAGCCCAAATGAGTACACGCTGGCGTTGTTTGCCATCATCTAGGCGATGGTACTGGTCTGCTTACCTCACCCCGTACCCCCCCCCTCCCGGCTGCTCCTTCGGGCGCATGCCTGTCCAAGCTTCGCTTGCTGTTCGTCAAGAGCCGCCCGCCGTAGCCTGCCGCACGGGGGACAAGCGGGAGCTGCTGTTCTCCTCCGTAGCCGCTATCAAAGGGACGGCTAGGATCCATATTTTCTGGGCTTCCAACAATTGCCAGGTTCTGCCACTTGTGTGAGGTGCAAACAATCCAAAGAGTTCCACGGATACAGCAACACGACATCACCCACAACTTTCCATCAGTGCCCGACTTCCAAAACCTGCGACACAAGCGTGGCCCGGGCACGGGCTTTGAAGCGAGCTTCAACTGCTGGGTCATCGGTCGCCAGGAAGAAGGGGGTGTCCTGTGCGCAGCATCTTGACAGTCTCGATCACCTATAGATGTCAAACTTAGGCCGTCTGTTGGGAGGCCTCAACTGTGGCATATTGGAGGTTTCGGGTATCTGGAGGACCCACTTATGTTGACATATCACCTCATATTAGTCAGAAGCCAGGAACGCATTGTGTTTGCCAGCACGCTGCTTTCCCACGCGCCTCGCTGTAGCTGTCCATCATCTGCATAAACAGCTCCTGGAGGCGCACTCTGCAGATCAGCCGAGGTTGCAAAACGGCCACAAGAAATGTTGGGATTTCGGGATGTTCGCTAAGGCAAGGATGAGGGGCACACCTTGAATGCCTCTATCGGGTGTTTGCAGGCCTAACACATCGGAAAAACACAAGGCATCGTTGAAGGAAAACAGCATTTCATGCACAAGGTCCTGTCAGGTTCAACGGGATACATGAAGGTGATTCAGAGTCCAAAGGCTTGCAGTTGATGAGAATCGCGTTGTACTGCATATCGATCGTTAATGAGAATTATGTTGTACTGCCCATTGATCTGATTGACACGGCGCCTCATGCAATTGATCCCTGAGAGGCTTTCCCTTTTCACGTTGGAACGGTGACAAGGACGTATGGCAACTTTGTTCACATTGGTATAGTTTCCAATGTTTCCAGTAATCTTAATGAACGCTACGCTTACCGTGATTTCATGTTCGAAGCTGTCAGCAAACAACGATCGGCAAGAGGAAGCGGGTCAGTCTCAACAGCATTCAAGATTCTCAGCACGTTGCCAGCGACAGCCTCTGCGCTCCTCAGGAGACCGCGCAATGGCCTGACAAAGCACCGAGTCCCAGTAGTCCAGTGCAGGGGCCCAAAACTGGCCCACCGCCAACGCCCTGCTGTATTGCTTGACATAGCGAGGAGCGAGGCTAATCTGAATTCCACTGCCAATCTGAATTCCCGGCCTGGAGGCCCCGGCCTTCTTGTGGTCAGTTCGACGAATGTGGACGCTCACCGTTCCTGGAGTCCAGCAGCAAATTTATCAACCATGGCACTGCAAATCAGCTTCCAGCATTTTGAAAAAAGGATACCCAGGACTTGTTTTCAACTTGGTTCAGGCGTATAAGACTTCCATCAGCCAAGCAAGAATTGACATGGCAACCGATCAACGAACCGTATGTTCTGGGTCTGGCCTGCAGGGAGCTGCCACAACCTCCTCTGCAGCTCCAAGCTGGGCGCCAGCTCATCTTGGCAGCTGTGCCGTGCATCGCGTTGCTGCTGCTTCTTGTTACTAGTTGGTCACGGTTGCTCTGGTCGCCTGGTATCAAACGCTGTTTTCGTTGCTGTTCTTCTCAAGTGCCACTTTCCCCCTATCAACTCAGCGCAACCGCAACCGTGTCCAACTGGGGGTGGGTTGGGGGTTGGCGGGTGGGGGGGGGAGAAATTGCCTTCGGTCCCTACGGTTCTTTTCACGGCTCGGTAGGGGTGTCTGCTGACCCTGGCCCAGTTGAGTCCTGGGAAGATGTACAGACCAGTGGCTTGTTAAATTGTGTCAGCAAACGTGGTGTTTCTGGAATTCATCCTGATGGTGCATTGTGTTGGCCAAAGGCAGCTCGCATCCTGAAAGCCAAGAACTTTCATCAGGTGAGCTACCAACTAAAAGAATTATGTAGACACGTAGATGATGTCAGAAGTCTCAAGTTGTCCAAGGCTCATGGAACTCAATACTTCGGATGTTAATGTTCATCTGAAACAACAAACTTATCAATTCGTGTGGAGACGAAGTTTGGGAACTGCTTCGCCTAATGCTTTGTGTTGGGGGCATTGGCAAAATTGTCGTGCAATTAGCCGAACGAAGTAGTTTTGCATGTTGACGCCTGCCACGCTGCGAGTGAAATGAGCAAAAACCAAACGTTTTTGACAGTGACGGCTCCGAAAACACCAGGCAACTAGCGCAACCGTGACCTACTAGTCATCAGATTGAGGGATGGGCTTCTAGGGAAAGGTCCCATAATTTCTCCATGGTCCCTGTAATCCGTCCGATTGGTGGCCTGCTCTACCCGCAAGTATCCCCTACCAGCAACTCCCACTTTCTTCATCTTGCAGACACAGGCACTGAGCTGCGCAGACCGTTCGGCGGCAAGAGCGCAACGGTCCTCTTCCCTGGCATGCCCGTGGCGGTTAATTACAACCACTTCAGGCAAATGCAAGATCGGTGAGTTCAAGATGTGGTCACTTGCATGTCCGGTGCACTTTCATGTTGAGAGCATTGGGAAGACGTATTCAAAAAATTGTCTACTGGAATGAAGGACTTTGCAGCAAATGCCAACTTGTACACGCAAAACAAAGTGAATACAGCATAGACCCCAGATAGCGAAACGCCGTCAATCCCGCAAAGACACATCTGGCCGTCACAGGCCCCCCAAAACAGCACCTGCGCCAGCCGTCAATCTCGCATAAACACCACACCCATCACCACCCCCCAAAACCATCCGCAACATCACCCCGAACAGCACTCCCAAAGCATGGCCGTCAATCTCGCAAACATGCACCCGCACCATCACCAGCACCTCAAACAGCACTCCAAACACCGTCCCAAAACAGCACCTTCGCCAGCACCCCAGACTGCATGCCCCCTAGCACCCTACCGTCAATCTTGACAAAAGTGCCCCCGCACTGTCACCTGCACACCCCCAAAATAGCACCTGCACCAGCACTCACTGCATGCCCTAGCACCCTGCCGTCAATCCAAATAAAATGCTCAAACGGCACCCCAAACAGCACCTACACCAGCACCCCAAACTGCATGCCCCCTAGCACCCAGCCGGCACTCTCGCAAATCACCTTTTTGTTTATACGAAGTCAGAACCCCTATAGCTTTCAGCCATCTGGGGAATCACTTCTCAGTGCCTACATAACAGAAAGCTATCTCCCTCATCAGATTCCATGAGTCACACCCCAACCGCTTATCCGCCTTGCCCCTCAGCCCTGTAGCCTGGGTGGGTAGAACGGGTTGAAGGCACGAACGCAGATGCAATCCTCAGCCACCACGAAATTGGGCCAACCTGCCCACCACCAGGCGCGTTCCCGCACGATGCTGCCTCTTCGAGGCCGCAGTCTACTGCAGTATAGCTGTTGGATCTCATCCCTTCAAGGACCGCCAGCTTTCTGCAGCCTCATTGAATGAATTGACCAATCAAAGAAGACTCATGCTTAAAGATGACGCGTCGACCAGGTAAAAAGGAGAAGGTTCCGCCAGTCCGAGGGTTAGCATTTTGTGCTTGCCACGAGGCGACCTGCAGGAACTTTGGCCTTGGCACGGAATGCACTGGAACAAACACAAAGGCACAACTCCGCCGACCCCTTCTCCAAAGGGGAGGTGCACGGGAAGGGTGGCAACAAGATCGTCATCACGATGCTCAGCATCATCTCTTTTTTTCATTGTAGCAGAGATGAACAAGCTAGATGTAAAAGATGCGTGGACATGATTATCATGATGACTGCTGGTGATGCTGAGGATGTGTCATGATGATTGTCATCCGATTTAAAAGATGCGTGGACATGATTATCATGAGGATTGCTGGACAGTTACATGATTATCATGATGACTGCTGGGCCGTCATGATCACCGTCGTCATCATGACGGTCATCAGCATCCTTTTCTTTTCTTTCAATTGGTGATGCACAGGATGCATTGGCAGGGTTGTGGGATCAAGGGGGTTTCTCCCCACTTCTGTGATACAAGGAAATCCCCCTTTATATTAGCAAAATAGTCTTTGGGAAGCCGTTTCTGTTGTATCACAGAAGTGGTCATTCCCCACAGCCCTGTGCATTGGTGATGCAGAAAATGCTACGACGACCATAAAGTTGGCTTTGGACCATGCTCCTCCGAAACTTGCTCGGATGGCATGTTGACAGCTGGTGGAATTGGCCCGCTACACGCGCAATCAGCATCATCATCATCACCATCATCATCCAGTATTGGTTTCTTCTGCATACTTGAAGTGTGGCGTTAGGCTCAATTGGTGATGCAGAGGATGCTACGATGATACTTATGATCACAATCTCCTAGCCCAATTGGTGATGCACAGGACGCGTTGGTGATGCAGGCGATACTACGACGACAGCTGATGGAATTGGCTCGCTAGACACATGATCATCGTCATCGTTCTCACCATCATCATCCAATATGCCTTTCTTCTGCATACTTGAAGTGTGGCGCTGTGATGATTATCCTCGTTGCTACTGGAGATGCTAAGGATGCGTAGCGACGGGTCATCATCGTCAGTGATGATTATCATCATCTTGCTCTGCGCTGCTGGAGGTGCTAGAGATGCGTAATGATGATTATCATATCGCTGCTGGAGATGCTAGAAATGCGTAGTGACGATGTGGCGATGCTGTGGGTACGTAGTGATGATCATCCCCTTTGTATTCTTATAAGTAAGGTTCGGCAGAGCCGGGGGCGGAAGTTTCAAAAATATAAAAACTATAGGTATCTGTCTCTCTTTTCTTGCCTCTTTTTCTCTTCTTCTCCCTTTTCATTTTTTTCTCCGTCATTCTTCCTTTCTTCCTTTCTCTTTCCTTCTATCTGTCTTTTCTTTCTTTCCTTCTTTCGTTTGCTTGTTTTGCGCTCTCTACCTATCTATCTACCTAAGTACCTATCTATCTATCTCTCTATCTATCTACCCCTCTATCTATCTTCTCTATCTATCTATCCCTCTATCTCTCTATCTGTCAAGAGAGCAAGTTGACGTCCTGTGGGACGCTGTCCACCAAGCTTCCAGCTGATTGTACTCAACCACGTAGAAAGGATATACGGCCAAACCGATACAGCCAAACCAGTGCAAACTGTTGTAAGGGGTATTGTCCAATAACCACAAATACACACCCGATATCAGCGGCGCGAATGAACCTGTTTTCTCTCACACAGATCGATCACAGGCGAACGTAGTTCATGCAAGACCCTAAGCCCTACTTGTATCTTGAGCCAAATGTGGCAACCAAAGGAACGCTCCAACCAACAAGAACATGGACCTCAGAACGGCTTCCCAATTTGGGCACGGGGCCAGGAGGGTTTAAACATCCCCCATTTGGGTCGCACTGTTCATCATGCGGTCCAAACATCACAACAAGTTCCAATGGCCACGGCTCCGATTACGAAACTGTGTCGAACATTCTTTCACTCACTACTGCAACGCCGTTCATTCATTGTGAAACTTAGCCGGGTTCGATTAAATCAAAACGTGCATCCGCAGATCGCAGCACATCTCTATACACAGAGGCATGAGGCAGTATACCTCGTACCACAACACAGCCATCGGAGATCCCAGCTACCGCATTTGCGCATCGCGCAGCTGTCATCCATAGAAATGGGTTGGCCGAAGAAATCCATAGCAGTGCATGAATATAAGCCATCCGTATATCACCGGCAAAGAAAAATGGCAAGCAATATGTATGCAAAAATAGCCATCCCAGATACCATGAAAACATAAAGAAATGAACTCATCCATGAGGTAATAGTGCCCATGAATGGATATCCGGAATGCCATAGTCGTCGGAATATGTAAATACATACATAAACATGGTCCTTGGACAAATGAATCACATCATACCGTAATTCATTCCATCGTAGTGAAATCAATATGTTGCTGGCGATGGATGGGGTCTGGCCCGCACCATGCCGCAAAAGCAACGATGATCCACCTCATAGTAGAATCAACATGTTGCTGGCGGTGGATGGGGTCTGGCCCGCACCATGCCGTAAATGCAACGTTGATCCACTCCAGCACCACATAAGTCGATCCACAATGGCCATCTTTGTCGGGGATCTTTGCTGCAATCCACAATTTGTAGAAGATATACAGCCCATCACATTTGAGCGTCAAATAACGAATGAATTGGTTGCGCTCCTCGACCGTCCTGAAGGTCCTTGTTCGAACATTCTGAGAACGAGATATCGCATCCTCGGATGATGGCAACACAACACCATCACGATCAAGTTCAGTGACTTTGGGATAGCGTGCCAAGTCGTTGTGGTATGGACACGCGGGAGCTCCTTTGAGCGCGGCGTCAAGTGTTCGCTTTTCGCCAGCCTCAAACATCCCCCACAACCTTGACATTTGCAGCGCAATGAACCCTGCCATGTATTGAGCCTCACGTGGCTCATCCATGCAGATTGCCATCCGTTGGGAGTTGATGATATCTCGCGCGGCCATGTCATTGTCGCGGTAATCCCATTCATTGTCCTCCTCTTCGGACACGTTGCCGGATGTGTACCCCTGCGTGCCCATCATCTCCCATTCCGCCATCCTTTCCTTGTGCTGCCGCATTGTTGTTCGCTTCCTCCTGTGCCTGCCTGGCATCTCCGGACACGTTGGGTTCATGATCGTCATCATCGTCGCCGGAGCTGATGTTGACGCAGAATCTTCCAGTAGAGATCAATTGCGCTTCGCACTCCAGGCATATACAGAAGCATGTAGGAATCGCAGTTGCACAAGACGGACAAATTCGGCATCTGAGGCCTTCCCAAGTCTCGTCATTCAGGATGATGGTTTTGCTGATCTCATCTCTGATCTCGTTGGTCAGAGTTTCCAACTCTTGATGTTGGCCGCCTCGAAACAGCGTGCAGGCACGATCCACCATCTCTTGGACGTAGTGCAGATTGTCGGCGCCCGCCTCTGTTTCCGGCGATCCCTCGATGACCTGTGCAACGTTCTGAAGGAACATCAGGGCCGACTCTTGTGATGAGCCAACGAAACCAGGACAGATCTCATTCTCGACGCATTTCGAGTACGCCCGCTTGACGTCCTGGATTTCCAGGCATCTCCCTTCGTTGCACTTGCCGATCCAAATGGACTTGACTTTATAGAACGGGATAACATCAAAAACCATAAACGTCCCGTTGAACGCAACTCCAGCTCCGTACCGTGCAAGAGTTGCACTGGGAATGTAGATGATTGCGATCGGATCCCCAACCCGCAGGTTGCGTAGCGTCGTCTTCGTCGCCAAGTTCATCTTGTCCCAAGGAGTGAATGCCCCGAAGTGCAATGCCAATCTGTTCCCGCCACCGATTCCGCCGGGGACTAGCCCGCAACGTACGATGCTTGGCAGGTTTTCCACATACGTCACATGGAATGCTCCTCCAAGGGAGCCACCCATCCTTGCGGAATACCTATTCGCCAATCAATGCGGAAGAGCTCATGAATCCAAAGTCGCTGTGACCAGTTGTGGCCCGAATACACCAAGGTCTGTACCATCCATCGCATCTGCCGAACACCACGTCGACCTCACCCTGATCGTGACCCATGTAGACCAACTCCTCTCGCGTCATTCGGGTTCATGATGCTCGGAAACCTTGCTGCTAGGATCTGAAATCTCGATTTCTTGTATCCAGATTCCTGCCACTTGATCACTTCCATGATGCCCTTGTAGCGTCTCGCTTTCGAAGTCTTCGGTGGGAAAATGTTCACCACATGGTCGTTGATGATTGCGTCTATGTCGACCCACCCACCTTCATCACACTTGAAAGCACTTCCTCGGCAATTGCCGATCTTGTGTCGAAGGATTCTGCAAAGGTCGTGAGATAGCTGATTAGCTTGATCTCTCGTCCCGAACACAGAATACTCATCACCAATTTTGCAAAATGGAGCGTCATTGAAGGGGTAGATGCAGAAGTTGATGCTCTTGCCAAGCTGTTGCGCATCGATCTGCTCCAAAATGGCGCCCTTGGTAATCGTAAAAACTTTAAATCCGCAAATTTTAGAATCTTAAGCGCTTAACCTTGCAAAACCGTAAACTAGTACAATCTTAAAAAAGACTTTAAGATTGTACTAGTTTTTGGTTTTTTGGAGGAAAAGCGAAATTTGAGGATTTAATAATTTTACGATTAACGTGTTCTACCATTGTAAAACTGTAAGATTTTACGATTCTATTATTCTCAGACTTTAAATGTAAAAGCTTAATTTCTTACAATCTAAAAAGCTGCAAACCTGCAGAGACTGAACATAGTCGAATCTTAAGATCTTAAAATCGTAAGATCTGTAAATTTTAGCATCTTTAAAAACTTGAAACTTAGAGGTACAACCTTAAACCCTTGAAACCTTAAAATCTTAAAGCCGTAGACGGTTTATTCTCTTTCCATCTTCTGTGGCATTCAGCGTCGCGCTGCTGCCGCAGCCGGTTGTGCGCCAGAACGGCTGTGTCAGATCATCCCCCTTGGTCCTTTGGAGCAAGGCTCTAGAGCGAAGCTCTATGGGGCTGCCGCCCTCTGCCGCCGAACTGGGCATGCAACTGATGCGGCCGGGGGGTCC